GAAGCTAGTCGACACCCGAGCCTGAACAGCTTGCCAAAGGGCGCGTGTGCTAGCGGCCCAGGGCTGTGCTGCCGCCGCGTGCCCGGCCGCGACTGTCAGTGCTGAGGAATTGTCAACTGCAAGGGTGATGAGACGAGGAGAGGAGCGCATGTATATTGCCCACTGATCAATCTGAGCCAGGCACCACATGGCAGCTGCTTGCAGTGCCGCAAGCTCACCGTGGTAGGACCGAGTGTCGGCAGCGGGTGTTGGTGGCAACTCCGACATCCATCCTACACCGGTCAACCGGGCCGCCTCCCAATCGACTCGGTACCAGCGGTGTCCGAACAAGCCCCAAACAATAAAGGCCCAGGACCCAGTGCCAACGCCGCTGCCATCTGTGGCAATCAGGAGTTCGTCAGGAACCCCACCAGCCCATAGTGGGTAGGCGTTCCAAGACCCGTGATATGTCCACGGCAATTCCTGTGGGAGCTCATAGTGCTGACGCCGGGAAAGCCAGGTCGAATGCATGTCGGCCTGAAGTCGGCAGACGTCAGTCAAGTCGGCAACCCAGTGATCCTGCTCCCGCTGCCATGACGGGGCGCCGAACGCAGAAAGGTAAACACTAAGGATAACAAGGCTCCAGCTGGCCAAGTACCCTCCCCGGCGCCCGTGGACCCCAAGACGGGGGAGCATTAGACAGGAGAAGCACCCAAAGCGAACTAAGGCCCCAGCGGCTGCCCGCCGACGGCCCCAGCTTTTGCTATTGAAGGGCAGGGGGACATGGGCTGAATCCGGTGGCTCCCCGTCATCAGAAGAGTCTGCCGAGGCCGTACTGTCGACGGGAGGCTGTTCCAACCCCCGCAGGAGGGTGGGCGAGGTCCGGAATGCTTCCTCAGTTGAGTCGAGGAGGTCAGCAAGGAGGCATAAGTGTAGGCCGTCACAGCAATGGGTGCGAGACGGGCAAGGCCACCAAGCGTCCGGCCAAGACAGGAGGGCAGGATGAATGGAGCAGGCGTGTGCATGCCAGCGTTGGGGGCCATTCAGAGGCACAACCGTGGGCAGAGTGTCAGACCGTCGGTGAAGGAAGACAACCCCGAATCCCTCAAACATGAGATCCTGGCTCCAGAGTCCACGGCATTGCGCACCGACTGGGTCATCGAAACGCACCGGGATATGAAAAGGGAGGGACGGCCCCCATACGTGCCCGCTAACAGCCAAGAGATCCCCATCCCTTAGAAGGACATTGGCGTCGGCCGCCGCAGCAGGGCCGAGAGCTGGGTGATTCCCTTTGACAGTTTGGGAGGTTGGGAAGTAACCCCTCAACACTCGGAGCAACAACCTTTTAGAGATACGGCCGGGGAGAGTGATGACGACGGGGCCTGGGGATCCTAGCGCCAAGATGTTGGCTAGGTCAGCGGCCAAAGCACGTGGCACCCAATGTACATCATGATCATCAATCTGGGGTCGCACCTGCGTGAAGCCGTGGGCCCACAGAGGCTCCAGTTGATAAAGAGCCCTTTCACTGACGGCCAGATCGCCGCATAACACAGGACCAAGGCGCCCCCTATGAGGACTCCACAACCAGTGCCGCACTCTCGGCCTCTGCGCGTCGGCGTGCCTAACAGACACGCTAGCTGGGAGGTGAGCGCTAACCAAAAGCAAAGCACAGAGGCGGTGGTCGAGGAGCGTACACATTCCCAGCGCCCAAAGACCGATCAGTTTGCCGGCACGACCTGCTGCCGATCTGGCATGGTGCGGGAAATGGAGAATGTCCCCGTCACGCAAGGGTGGCCAGTCAGTCGCCCGATCGGGGACACCTAGCAGGCTGGTGGCGCCTTCTCGAAGCCCCCATGATAGTGCGAAGGCCCTTGGAGTGACACGGGCATTAACACTCCAACAAGTGCCCTGTAGTTTTTCGCCGACCAGCTCTTCTACGATGATGTGGCAATGTATCTCGTCCTCAGACCTGAGACACAAGTGCACGTCAGGGGAATATGCCCATGGAACAGGTACCCAACACCCCGGGTAGCGCTGCTGGAACTCTCCAGTGAAGGTTGCCTGAGAAGCGATCCAGCGGCTCCCCGGTGGCATGGTAGTGCGGAGCGGGCGGCGTCCTGGCGCCCACATAACAACAGCTAAGGCGCATTCACACTGGAAGTCCAAGGACCATAGTGCTGCTGTGCGGACTGCCAGGCCAGTGATGAAACGCGGCGGATCGTAACTGGACATGCCCCCAGGCCCTAAGGCCAGAACAACATCACCGTCGCGCCAGTCAACTGCATCATTGGGTCCTGAGCAAGCTGCCGCGGCTTGTGGGGGCCGACGGACTGTCGAGACCGCACCCGGCCCGAGCTGTTGAAGCAGAGACCGCAGCCAGTTGGTATCGGCGCGCCTCGGTATGATCAGTGGGAGCTGCCAGTCAGGAGAGACGACCATGATGCACACAAGCCGAGGGTCATCTGGCGCCGGAACGAAACAAAGATGTGGTGACCATAAAGCGGGCCAAAGTGGCATGATCTGTGTGTGCCATGCAGGGCCCCTACTAGACAAAGCGATAGCAACTTCCTCAACCGTAGAGTCGGGGTTGATGGGCAAAGGTTCGGTGTCAGACATGAATGGGGAAAACAGGCGGGCAGTGCCCTCTGGCGCGACCGCTTCGTGGCAAGCACGCTCGTGAGCTTGCAAGCGCCACGGGAACATGCCGACATTACCAGTGTCGGCAGCCTGCGACTCTACTGGGGGCACAAGCATAGCATCAGCGTTAGCTGCGACGCCGAGAAAGACTAAAGCAACAAGGTAAGTCTGACTCCGGGCTAAACCGAGGGCAGCAAGGAGGTCCGCAAGCCGAGACCGGGCGGATGCGCGGTTCACAGGTACGAGGACGTCGCCGTCCCGGAGGAGGCTGTCCGGCGCTTTCAGGCGCAAATCAGGGCGCAGTTGCCAACCGCTGGGAACGTGGTGGCCCGGCCCCCCGACCGAGAGCAGCCTGCATTCCGTTTCCGGTGTCCCCGTCGGGTCATGCAGTATGACCTGAGCTTCGCCCTGGGTGGTTCTGCGAACAAAATGGCACTCATACGGCTGAAGGCATTGGACGGGCACCATCTTTGGAGTTGCGGGCTCGCCTCGCACGTGCGCGAAATGACCTCCCGCAGGAGTCCAAATGCTGCCCTTTTCGACCCAATATCGTTGGCATTGCTCTTGAGGATTATCGGTGTCCTGCCAAACGTAGATCCAGCCCCCACGCCGAACCCGAAACCGTTCATGCCAAAGGTTGAGATGGTTGAGATGGTACAGTTCGTGTACCCATTCTTCCGGCCGAGCTCGGAAGGCGCGGTTGAAGTAATTAACTTCCAACAAGACCGTGTCACCATCTCGCAAGGATAACTGTGCATCTGGGGGCATCTGTGGGTGTTGCAGTGCAGGGGGCAGGCTAAGGCGGTCGCCCGGCGCGCCTAGGAACCGGCGGCAGCACTCAAGGAGTGTGTGTAGTCGGCAGACCCTCGGGACCAGAACGGCCCTGATGGTATCACCCGCCTGAACAACAACCGAGGCCAGTCCACTGCCAGCAATCGGCAGAACTACACCGTGGCTCGTGATGCGACTCGGGCCTAGGATAACATGACCTCTAGCCCAGACACCGCTACAGGACTCCACCATTGATTGCAGCGCAGAGTGTGGGGTGCCAGCGTCGGAGTGCACACAACTGCTCCATCCGCGAAACGGACAGAGGACATGGTAATCCCACCGTTGGTCCGACACGACATCGGCAAGAGGATGTGGCATTTCAGGCCGCCAGCGTCCAACGAGAGCAACAGTGCAGTCCTCTTCCGAGTCACTCTGGCACGCTTGGGATCTGGACCGATCGCGAACTGCACTGCACACATGTAGGAGAGGAAGCAGAAGAACCGTGGTCGGGGCGAAGCGACTGCCCGTACTAATCCCAAGGAGGGAGGCAACAACCAGAAAGGAGACGTGGGTTCTACCACCGCTAGCATCCCAAGCAATCAGGTCAGTCTCGGTGCCCGAGTGATCGAAAATGATATCTCCATCGCGGAGAGTCCACCGGTCAGTAACGCGCTCCCTGGCGACACCAAGAGGACCAAGCCTGGGGGCTTCCATACCTCTGTCAGCGCCAAACACGGCCGGAGAAACAATCCGACCAGTAGACTGTGCTAGCAGTTCACCACCACTCTCGACCAGAATATTAGCCGTGTGCGAGGCGTCCGACGCTTGTATGAGGTGAATCCATTGACTAGGACTCCACACAACCGGAACCCATGACCCCGCAAAGGAATGCCGAAATTCACCGTTGAAAGAGAGCACCACTGGGTCCCAAACCGATCCGGCTGGCACGGTGTAACGTATTGGTTGAGGAGCAGTCGGCAGCCAGAGGAAGATGTGGAGAGGGAAACTAACGTGTATCCGGCGTGTCCACAGGGCGCCATCCTTGAAGGCGGCAGGACTATGAGGCCAAACTTCGCGTGCATCATCTCGGCAAGCGAGAACATCGAGCACGTCACCTGTGCGGAGAAGCAGAGGGGCACGAGGCCGAACCAGCCGAGCGGCGTGAACTGCAGGTGGGAAACGCACCTGGGAAACTTCCCAAGGTGTGTTGTATTGGACCGCTCTGCAAATCTGATCATACTGCACAAGGGCAGGGACAATCAAGGACTTTTGAGCCCCTTGAATCCGAGCCACCACGCAAACGAGGCCGGCTGACTCACTGATTGCCGGCACAAAAGTGAGCCGATCCATCCGGTCGCTTGGCCAGACAGGGAAGAGCCGAGGTATAGCAGGATCGTCGGATAGATATCGTTGTGCAAGCTCATCCAAAGTTAAGGCGCCAGCCCCATGGAAGACCCCTTGTGGACCGCACCATGGGCACAGGTACAGGGTACGACAGGCCCTGGTACCGCTTACATAATCCATGGATTGGGAGTGGCGAGGCAGCCGCCACGGGAAATGCCCAAGCGAGTATTCGACTCTGCGCGGTTCAGCACCCTGTTGACCAGGTCCCCTTATAAGAGGCAGCATAACCGCTCCAAGGAGAGGAAACCGAAGCCCCATAAGAAGACTAATGACCAAGGACATGCCAATAGGTGCTGCTCTGGAGTTGACCGGCTGGGGAGGCGGCGGCCCGAAAGGGCCCATATCGGCGTGTAGGCAATCGCCATCGCGCAGATGAATAGGACGCTCAGGGTCCCGACCGGTTGAGTACGGCGTACGGATGCGCCCACGTTGTCCTCTGACCGCAACCTGAAGACCTCTGCCCCTGATGATCGAGCGTGGAAGACAGCGAGGATAAAGAGCTTCCCCGGATCGTATCAGGACTGACACCTGGGAAGAGTCAGCTGCTGCCGGGATGAGATGTATCGCCGCGGCGTCAGGTTGCGGTTGCACACTGACCAAGGGTTGCCAGCCTCGCCGTGCCGAGTAATCACGCAGCATTTCCTCAAAGATAAAACCCGTACCAATGCAGGTCGTAAGCAATTCACAACTAACACCTCTGGCAAATGGGTCGTGAATGGTGATGGGACACCCATAGGGGATGAAAGGGGAGGGTCGAGGACCTAAATTCACGCCTTGCATGTGCGCAGCAACGCGGCGCTGGATCACCGGAATAAGGGTGCGGTCAAAGGGATCGATTGGGGCACTCATTTCACCCTGTATCGGGACAGCGGTGCTTGCACCAGTATCATCACTGGCTCTGACCGTCATCGTCATGCCTTCGCCGTCGATGGTAGTGTCAGGTGTGGGTGGCAGCACGCCGCTGTAGGAAGGGGAGCTGGGGGGCACAGGCTCACTGGGTTCCGGTGCGTCCGCCTCGGCAGCATGCACTATGGTCCCGAGGAAAACCCCTAAACCGAAAAGCCTACTTCCATAGCCCCCAAGGCCAGCGAAGAAGAGAGGCAGGGTGGAGAGTGGCATGGCGCCGGAGCGTGGTTGCGGCTCCTCCAGTGGTCGACTTGTGCCCAGGCATCAGGAGTGCTGTTGGCAGATCGCCCGGCCGAGGTAGGATCCGCGTTGCGACCCTCGGGGGCTCGGGAGGCAGCGTTGAAAACTCCTGCTTCCTCGAGCCTGGTAGTAAGAATGCTGAGCTGCCTGGTGACCGTATCAAGCTGAGCAGCGACGGCCGCGCTAACTGCGGTTGCAGTGTTGCTGGGATTCGGAGCGAGGGTTGACGGATCAGAGGGAGTTGCCGTGGTCCTTCTCGGCGGCTCTCGAACCTCCGGGGTTCGACCCCTGAGCGACCGGTACAGAATGGCCGGTTCCATAGAAGGCCCGCGACATATATCATAGTCAAACTGCGGCACCCAACAGGATTCTGGAGGAGAGTCCCATGTGGAGAAACCAGCGTTGCTAGGTTGGGACATCCTAGCCAGCGAGATGATCGCTCCATGCGGGGGGACTGGGAGCTGTGTGCCGTACGGGAAAACCCGGCCGCAGTGGTGAACCCCAAATGCTCCTTTAAGGAAGAAGTCTCCCCCAAATGCCTCGGCAGCTTGCTGTGCGATAAAAGCCCAGTCAAACCCTGGTGCTACAACTGCCACTACCGTGCCCCTGCCGCGAAAATGCAGTAGCCAGAAAGGAGTGGGCGGCGCCACACCAGATGGGAGGTGCAACAGGTGTCCCACGCACTTCACCGTGCGAGGCGTGGTCCAGACAAAGTCGCCCTCAGCGGCAACACCGCGCTGCGTAAGGGCAACCCAGCCCGCTAACTGGGTAGGGTCAGGGTTATCTGCATATGGCAGTTCAAGAGGTGCACACAGAGTATGTGTCCAGACACGCATAATCGAAGGGGGCTGCGCCGGTTGTGTACCCCAGACCGGTCCCTCCGTCGCCTGGTCTCGGACAGCAAGAGTGGCTGATGGTCCAGGGACCAAGGGCATGCCATAGCACCCGAAACTCCACAGTAGCACCAACAAAAGATGCCGACGCATAGGGCCGACTCCACTAAGGGACGCGACAGTGTTGGCGGTGCCGATGGCAACTTCGGCCAAAACAAGTCCTCCAGCAGTGAGGTATCCGGTGACCCGTGAGAGAGGCCCTCCAATGTACGCGCGGGCCCCTTGAGGTAGCGTGTGCATAGTAGCAACCTCTGAAGAAGTAATAAGCCCAGCGACCTGACCATGTGAGTTCAAGGTTACAGGGATTCTAGCTGCATCCTCATACCAGAGAGCGACCGGCCGTAACAGTTCCCTAGCTAAACCATCTCTCACGATCCACCATATGATGCCTCCCACCGGGATGGAGAGTACCTCAACGATGGATGCCTGGGAGTCGAAGGCAACGTGTAGTCTATGTTCAGCAGCGCGATGGCCAGCCGCGGCTAGCAGGTATGCAAGCTGCCCCGTTGTGACCCGTTTGGGAACCTCGAAAAGAGTAGGTCCCCCAAGCGGAGTCCAAACGATCACCTGAGCAGTATCGAAAGGAGCGAATTGTGTCACATGGCGCCGTAGCTCCTCAACAGAAGTGGCAAAGTGCGTGTGGCGGCAGGCAAGGTCGTGGCACCATGATTGACAAGTGGCAGCTTCATCGTCGGACTCCAACATAATCACTGAGGAGTTCGAGTCGGAGTCGGGAGGAGAGGGCGGTCTTCGATTGCGGGCGGACCAGGCAGGCACCCCGAAAGAGATGAGGAAAGCCCCAAGACGCAATCTTTGTAAACCCCGCACACTCAGCAAGGCCCCAATGTGCAGCAGGGGGGACGGCCCGAGACCAACGCTGGAGGATCGCAGGTCTTCATCGAAATGTGCCGCGGTGGAGTCGGCATCCCGGTCCCCCTCGTAATCATATGCACAGGTAGTCAGGCTCGGGTCGCGGCCATCTAGGAGCAGGTGCCCACAGTGGCCGGCAAAAGGCCCAAGGTCGGCCGGCCATGTCCATGCACTATCCTCACTGTGTAGACTGCTGCCAGGCAGATCCCAGGATGTAAGCCCAGCAACTTCAGAAACATGTTGCCAGGTAACCTCCGCGGTGCAAGCCCCATAGACCCAGTGCCCTATCCTAATCGCCCAGAGCTTAAAGTCTTGGCGGCAAGGTATGGTGCAATGAGTGCCCATGTGTGGGCATGACAGGTGGAACAGGGTTCCACTAAATTGAAGACCAGGTGCTGGGGAGCAGCCGTGTGCACGGGTGCGCAAGGGAAGCGAGGCGGAGAAGACAGGGGAAGCTGCTGCCGGCCAGATGCGGGGTGCGGTTTGCGTGGCGACATGATGGCGTGCTGGGGAGACAATGTTTGGTCCCCGTGAAGGAGCTTCCAAACTGAGCACATGGAGCGGAGGCTCGGCGTCCCAAGCCAAGCTCCAGCCGAAATCATGCGCCCTACCAAAATCTAATCCCAACTGGTAGCTCTGTACTTGGAACCCAGCTTCAGCGCCAGTGGTGACGTTAACAGAATGGTGCAAGACTTCTGGGTTCCGTGCAAAGGCGGCAGCCCAAAGGCGGCCATATACAGGGTGCCTAGTCAGAATGCTGCACGAGGGCGGCTGGGTGCCAATGGCGTCGCACGTACATACGATGGGATTCCCCTCAGAGTCATCAATGTCGGTAAGCACAACAGTTACCGTGCTGTGTCCAGCTCGCGGGAGGCAGAAGAGGTCGACGGCCGGCCGGCGGAGCGGAACCCGATGCAAACCGACCGCTGAGCATCGAGCAGGACCCCAGATACCGCAAAGCTCCTGGTGCAGTGTGTGGGCATCAAAAGACCGGGGCACCTGTAGGCAGGTGAGCTGCGAGTCGGCTGTGGTAATATAGACACAGACACTAGACGCAAGCCATCGAGCTGCAGAGGAGCCGGCAACAGGAATAGAGATCTGACCAACATCTTCTCGAGGCGGCTCATCGTCCTCGTAAGCTCTGAGGACATCGCCGTGTCGTACCCCGCGGCCGGGCTGAACCTCTAAACGGAAGGAGATCCCAGGTTCAAGAAGGTTGAGGATGGAAAGCACCGACCGTCCAACTGCATCGGGTGGCACATCAACACAAATGTACCGGCCACCGGTGTCAAGCATGACAGTAAGATGAGTGCGATCTCGGGGTGGTGCAACAAAATGCACACACCTGCGCAGAGGTTGCGGTGACACGAGGACAGCTGGCCCTCGCCCGAGGCGGCCTGTGCACTGCTGGAGCAGCTCTCGGAACTGGTGGAAGGGTCGATTGCCTTGTAGGTAAAAGCGATATTCGTTTGCTGGACTGGCAACCGAGAAACAGAAAACCTGTGCATGTGTGCCTGGCGCGCCGCTGGCAGACGCCCAGGAGAGACGCGTGAGGGAATCCGGGTGGGATAGGCGGGTTGCCAGTCTCGCATGGGCTTGCACGTCAGCTAAGCCCGTCACAGGGGTTATTGCAAGAGGTTCACTCGGGCCTTGGCTGACTTGGAATGGTACTCCTTCCTGGTACCCGGGTAACACTGCACCAGCAACCAGGAGACTAACCCCTAAGAGGAGGCCCGGCGACCTACCAAACCACAGGAGGCAGAGTCCATAACCCCAACCTAAATGCCGTCGAGCTGATCCTGAGACATCGAAAGGGGAGGGGACATCTTCAGTCGATGTAACCGCTTCATCCAATGGCTCAGGTTCCACGGTAGCGGGATTAAATCCTGCAGCTACGTTAACTCGGCGACGGACAACAACCAGAGGTAAAGGAGGGGCCCCATGCAATGCGACAAACGGGTTAACGACGCTCTCTCTGTGTAGAACCTGAAGCTCCCCTGACATAAGTTGGGAAGTCAAGGGGCGGCGTGTGTTGGGGTCGCCTAAGCGGCTCACTGCTGCCTGGATGCGCATTGCCGGTGTATCAAAAAGGCTCGCTCCGAAGACATGCAGTTCTCCTCCGAGTGGCCGGAGGTCAACCAAAGCTGGGGGCTGCCCGTCGCGGCACCTCAAGGCCACATATTGCAAAGGAGGCAGGTTGTCCAGCGGCGGCAGGACTCGTGCGAAATGCAAAGCGAATGACGGCCCCCCGGGTACCGCTGTCAGAAAGGCTTGCAAAACCGCAGTCCTTAGGGTAAGATGGTCTGCGAACGTGGGCGCCTGAGTGAACAGAAGACCATTGTCATACAGCACCACAGCATTGCTGCCGTCTGCAGCAAAGTAAGATGACTCGGCAACATGTGGTAGTGGCAGGCTCACAGCGAACCTATCATCGACTGTAGCTGCGGACTGCAGAGAGTCGCCCACAGTAGGCACGAAGCCATCTGGTGGAACAGGCCACACCTGAAAAGCATCGGTTGCAGGCAAAAGGAGCAGAGATGCAGAAGGCAAGAACCAACCTCGGCTTGTGCGGAGCAACACAGGTTGCTCAGGGGACAGACCCTGCATTCGAAGAGCAGTCCGCACTAGATCGACACACGGGGCATCCCTCCTAGCGGTAACCATTCTAATGGTACCTCCCAAGGGCCTTAGGTCAATCGGGACAACGCAGTCATACCAGGCAAGCCGGCGTGGTGTAAAGACCACTGCCTCAGGCGGCGTCGCGGGGAGTGACTCCTGAAGAGGATGGACATTCCACTCGTGAAGCTGCAAACCTAAAGCCGTTGCTAGCATGCTGTGCAACACTGTGCCGTGAGCCCTGTCGTCTGCAAGAATCAGCAGAGGGGTTTGAGAGCACTCAGCACAGTAGACGCCGACATCCCGGATGGGAAAGGGAGGCGAGTCTAGTTGCTCATGCAGGGGCAAGTTGGCTGCTCGGGCGGGCATAAGCGCATCCGTGCTATCCGTCAGAACGACTCGGCTAGTCGTGTAGACTGGTTGTCCATGCCAGTTTCCTTGCTGGAGGATTTGTACTGCAGACACATGTGGAGTGCAGACCAGCCAAATGCACAAAAGTCCGCGCAGAGGCCGGGATGAAGAGCGGCCTAACACAGTGTGCCTGTCCTTAGTAGCGCGTACGGGGTAGCCGCGCCTAGCATGCTGATTGCGGAAAACCTTGGTCGACTGAATCAAGCCGACAGCTAGGCTGAGTATCCTGACAACATGAAGGCTGGCTCCCAGTAGACCTCGCGAAACAAGACAAACACAATCGACTAGGACTGAGACGCATATGCCCGGGCGACGAAGGAGGGCCCCCCAATGAATCCGTCGTGCGAGAAAACTGACTACGAAAAAGTATGTACACGCACTACAGAGGACGTATACCAGACGAAAGCATGTACAAGCCCCAGTCATGACGCTCAGATCTCGCCGAAGTCCTCCGCCAATGACGGTGTCACCAAATATGGGCATGGGATGCTCAGGAGTGGCCTCATTGCGTCGGACATTTGGCGTGGAATCATCCCCCGACATTCGCACCCGTGCTCCAGGAGAAGAGAGGGATACAGCCACTCCTGCGCGGTAGCCGGACCATACTGTTGAAAGTCCAGGATATTCCCCAGAGTCACATGGATTGCTACCAGAACACCCTGCTGTATTCCTGGTAAGGAACTTGGGCAGAGTCGAATGCGCTGCAGCAATTCCTGACAAGAGGCCACCATCCCGGGGAACTGTTCGTCCTGGGCCTGCTGCATGAACACACCCAGAGTTTTCCAGAAAGTCGCTGCTTCTGCCTGAACGTCCTCGGTCGCCGTGTCGTCGGTCTGGAGTGGCCACACTGCGTCTTGTTCTGGAGAAGTGTCGAGTTCCCCAATAGGGTCGCCACCATTGGCGACAACATAGGCCACCGCCTGCAACCAAGCGGTACGCCAGGACACTGGGCCATCGCAAGCCCTCTCGCCCCCCCCGTCGGGTATGAGCTCTGTATCGTCTGAAAAGGTGGTAGTAGATGGGCGGCGGGTTGCATCTGGAGAGCGACCGGTGGCGTCCATGCACCATGGGCCCGCAGACAGAGTCGGAGCCGGGCCAATGAGGGCATCGGCGGACTCCTCGCGGCGAGGACTCTTGCTGGGACGATGCGGGACAGCCACTCCCCCACGTTTCCAACGGCGGTGCCGGACAAGGTCGCCGGCATCTGGAGCAGCTCCGCCTAGCATGGGTGTGCCACCGTGTTCCCGCCCACCGAAGCCTTGCAGCCCAAAAACTCCAGCGTCCTGGCCTGCGCCAGTGGAAAGAGCACCAAAGGCACTGTTGCAGCCGAAGACTGCAGGGGCCACGCTCGGAGGGCCAGAGCTGAGTCCAGAAGAGGGTGCCCCCATCTGCGTGAACCCGGGAGCCATAGGAGTCGAAATCCCTGGCGGCACCATTTGGCTCTGTACCGTGCTGAAAGCTCGGAGTGAGGCTGCAATCCGAAGGATCTCGTTCGACTGGGCCTCCGGCCAAATGGGCCCAAGCCTTTGAGACGCTTGCGCGATCCGCTCTTCTGTAGTCGACGACGGGAGGTCGGTCAGGTTCTGGCGCATTTCCTGGCAGGCCTGAATGAGATCCTCGTCGACCTTCGCGCTCAGAGCTTGCACTCGTTGGACCAAACCGACAAGGTGAAGTCCAATGGCACTTGTCCACTCTGAGAGTGCCTTGCTGAGCTCGTCTTTGGCCTTGACGTCTCCTGCAATGCGTTTTGATAGCTTGTGAGATGCCGTCGCCGCCTTGGAGATCTGCTGTTCGACCGACATGTCGATGGCGACAGCTGAGGGGGACGACCACAAATCCTGCGTAGATCTGGCTGTAATTGCCTGAAGAGCCGTCATCATGGCTGCCGGCAACCCAAAATCTATGCGAGAAGCCTGTGCCGAGGCTTCCTGGCCTTTCCCTCTCCCCTTCGCAAAAGCCTTGGCATCCGGCTTCGCTTTCGGTGGCATAGTCCCGTGGTGGTTGGCAAGCTGGCGCAACTCCGCGCGGGTCGCTCGCCCTTGCTTGGCTTTCTTCCGCAGCTTGCGGCGCTGTCGCCGCTCTCGCCTGTGCCACGAAGGACTCGCTGTCCTCGTGGCAAAGGAGAGGGCCTGAATCGGCCCTCAAACAATCTCCAGATTGAGGAACTCCACCAAGCCAGAGAAGACCACACCCAATCAGAAAAAGAGGAAGAATAGGTGTGTAGCGGCCACCGCCGCTCATAAGAAAGGCCAACAGCCTATTGAAAGGCAGTGTTGGAAGTGTAGCCAGCGCGGACGGCCGAAGCAGCGTACGCTCTAGCGAAGCAGGGCCGCCCCTGCTTGGCACCCCTCCAGGGTGCTGGGACCGCCCACAGCGCGGGTCCCGTCGCTCAAATAAGAGCTGGGGTCGGGTAGGCTGCTATGGCGAAAAACTCCTTGAGGAGACTCACGCCAAAAGAAGCTTGGGCCGCGACGCCTCGAACCCTGAACCCTAAATCCTAAACCCTAAACCCTAAACCCGAACCCTGAACCCTAATCTTAAGCCCGAAGCATCCTGACTTCAGGCCCGAACTCTAAACCCCATGGGGGTGGTTGTGAAAACTATGGTCCCTTTTTGGGTCCTTATTATAGTAGGGCACCTATTATTTAGGGTACGCCAAAAAGGGATCCTAATTTTGACAATCACCCCCATGGGTAACTTGTATAGACCCATGCAGGCTCGTTCTAGAGTCCTTATGAGACGCGCGTGCACCTAAAACCGAAAACCCTGAAGCCTAAACTCTGAAAACCTGCACCCTGAACCCTAAACCCGAAAACGCTGAACCACAAACCCTGACGGTTGAAATTCCTTTACTGGATCCTCCAACACGATTAGACCTTCAACCGAAAGGGCCCTAAACCCCTATATAAACGTTTTTTCTGTATCCTGAGAAGGGTTTAGGTTTTAGGGTAACCTAAACCCAAAACCCCTAAACCTGGGCCCCAAGAGTCAGGAGAAGAGGGATGGACGGGGCCGGACTCCGCTGCAGTGGGCCGCCGAAGCAGGGCAGAATCCCAGCTATCGTTAAGAATTTTATATTTTGTTCTATTCGTTGCTCGTGTGTTTTTTATGTTTAGTCGGTAGGGTTTATTTATTAGACGGTTTTCGATTTCAATAGTTTTTTGGGGTATTAAAGCATGTAGTCGCAGTTCTCCCTGTTGCCATAACTTACATGAAGTTCATGCACCAGAATCATCGAAGGCTAACCCCGAAACCCACCGAAAAACCGCATTAAAGCCTAAATCCTGCACCCGGCACCCTAAACCCTACACCCTAAAATCAGGAGGGAGATGGTCAAGCTCTTGCTGCAGGCAGGCGCCGACAAGGACAAGTCGCCGGGACTCCCAGTGCCCGGCACGGGAACGCCTTTGCAGGCAGTCTGTTTTTGTTTTTAAAGCTTTCAAAAGGTGGGACTTGGGCTGGCCAGTTCGGGGATGGGGGTTTGAGGTTGGCCCGCCAAGAGGTAGGGATTAGGGATTGGGTTTTCGGTGGCTTAAGGCCTTTGCAGGTGGTCTGTTCCACGGGCGACGTGGAGATAGCCCGCTTGCTCATCGAGGCCGGCGCCGACAAGGAGAAAGTGAGCCGACCGGCGCCCAACACGCCTCTGCAGATCGCCTGCAGCAAAGGCTACGAAGACTTGGTGAAGCTCCTCTTGGAGGCCCGGGCCGATGCAGACCGGGCCCTGCCACTAATGGACGGAGGGACACTTCTTGATAGCCAAGGGACGCCGCTTCAGACCGCATGCCGAGAAGGTCATGTGGCCATCGTGCGGATGCTCTTAGAGGCCGGCGCGAGTCGGAACAAAGTTAGCCGCCCCTGGGTTCTTGTTAAGGAGCTTAACTTAGGTTACCATAAATAGGGATCTAAAAATATGCTTTCCTTCTTATAGTATCTTAAATTAGATTCAGGTTTATAGTAACTTAAATTAGATTCAGATCTTCAGTAACTCGAATTAGATTCAGATTCCTCAACATGAAAGCCAAGGCTCGTGCCTCGAAAAGCCGCTGCAGCTGGCCTTCGCCTCCAGGCACCTGGACATCGCACGCCTCGTCTCCAAGGGCTGAGAGGAGACCTTTCTCAGCCCGCCCCGTCGCAGAAGAAAAGGAATCTGCGGCAGACACGGCATGGGCGGGGGTAGGGTGGGGTGGGGGGGGGATCAGCCGAGGTGTTTTTGTGATAGTGTGGGCCCGTGCTGCCGGAGTTGAATTGAAACTCGAGTTCATGGTTGTTGTCAGAGGCCTTTAGATGACCCGCATACAGTTTACTTCATCCCACTCGTGCACCGCCTACAGTGTCAATAGAGCTTGGTTTGGATCTGTGCTAGTTCCCAGGCTTACAAGAGTTCATCAATGCGCTGACCACGCAGTCCCCACCTCTCTGGCCGAAACGCATGCCTCCCCTCTTCTTCCCAGACGCACCCCACTAGCAATACCGAAAGCACAAGACTACTCTGGATTCATGACGAGTTGCCTTTCTCCACCGTGACCCGGCAGCACACACCTCTAGACTCTAAACCCTAAGCCCTACAATCTAAACCTAAACCCTAAACCAACCTCTGAACCCCTAAACCCCAAGACTTCGAAGCCCTCCAGGTGGACCGTTTCATCCGGGCGATGTGCCGCGGTTGACAGAACTCACAGCTTTCAGACTGCTTTCAGGGCTTTTCTTGCAATCCTTGGGGGTGGAGTCTGGGCCCAAAGGCCCAAAACCCGAAGACGGTGTCGAAAAGCACGGAATCGTCCCTTTCTGTGGGGGTCTGATTGAGGTACTTCCCACCGCTGACGCCGGCAAAGTTCCGGAGCGCCGACGGGGAGCTACACGCCGTGGCTCAGCCAGCAACGACCCTTCCAGTTCTGCGTGCCGGAGCGTTGGGACCATCTTAGAGTGATTGAGAGAAGATGCATGTAACCCTAAACCCAAATTTCCCTAACTTGGACATTCTGGCTGTGAAGCACATCGAAGCACGAAGAGCCGACCCGATCGAGCGGGGGCCATCCTGTGATGAAACCATGTCCCCCAGAAGGAGCAAAAATCAAATTCCGAAATTCGCAGGGGTTGGCGCCGTACATCTTGATTATAAGTTTCGTTGCAAGTGTGCTCATCCCCCCTTGTTTGGTCACTGCGAGAGCCAGCATCGTCATACTTTCCGTGATTTGTGGGTTCAGTCGTTGGTATTCATCCATTTGATCGCCATTGTTGCTTTCTGAGCTTGGCTGCCGCTTGTACCAAGTAGCAGCATCGTAGAGCTGACGAAGAGTTCTGCTCCAAGTATTGTTTTAATATAAGGGCCTGAATAATTACCTGTACTATTGTGGGGGTTTCTTGTTGTAATTTTAGTAAAATGGGCCCCAGATCCCTATTCTAATTGTTAAGGCCCCTATAGCCTTATAGTACATATTTGTAGGCCTTTCGACATAATTGCTTGATTTAGCGAACTCGTTGGTTTCTTGGAAGCACTTGGCGGGCGCGACCGCAAACCCCAAAATCAACACTGCAATCCCTAAACCCTGAGCCCTGAATCCCACCTACACCCTAGACCCTAAACCCATAGCCCTCTACCCTGAACCCCAAACCCTGACCTGAGCGACCTAAGCCCTAAGCCCCAGGTCGTCAGCCTGACGGCCTTCGAAGCCCTGCGACGGGGCGAGGCGCCCGCGCCGCCGCCCAACAACGCCACGTCCAAGGCGGAGGCTCGTGAGGGCTCCCTTTAAAGGTTTAGGGTTTGGGGTTTAGGGTTTAGGTTTAGGGGTTTAGGGGTTTAGGGGTTTAGGGTTTAATTAGGGGTTTGGGGTTTAGGGTTAGGGTTCTTTTCAGGGTTCCCTTTCGGGGTTCCCATTAAGGGCCCCCTTTCAGGGTCCCTTTCTTCTAAGGGGGCCTGCAACATAGGGTGTCGGAATTAAGTAATTGGGGTTTAGGGTTTACCTGAACCTTTAAAAAACCTTAACGTTTTTCCCTCCTTGTTATGGTTTCTGTATGTAAGTCCTTATGAGGCTTTGGCCTTGCAGGTTTGAGGGTTTAGGGTTTCGGAATCGGAGTTTGAAAGGAAAGAAGATCCAGGGGTCTCGTAAATCCTGAACCCTAAACCCTAAATTTTCAACCCTAAGCCCTAAGCCCTAAACCCTAAATCCTAAATCCGAAACCCTAAGCAAGGGGACTCGGCGGCCGTCGAGGGAGCCTCCTGCTCCACCTGTGCCGCGACTCGTCAGCAGCTTCTCCTCGTGGTGTGTTGGGGGTTCCGAACTCAAAAATGGGGGTGCCTGGACCCTAAACCCTGAACCCTAAACTAAGAGTCGTTGCAAGTATTTGCGTTTAGGGCTCTGTGTTGGCTCCTGTGTGTTTCCGAAGCTCTGTTGGGTGCAGCTGCTCGAAGCTCGCGCAGCTGGGTGCAGCGGAGGCAGTGGGGTTGTGATTTGACTTTCCTTGCAAGAAATTCATGGAACCTCCTCAGCCCTCCCTCAAGCCTCCCTAAAACCTCCCTAAACCCGAAAATCCTAAACCCTAAACCCTAAGCCCTAGAATTAGAAAAGTGTCGGGTGTAGCGGTTCGGCTGGGTTTGGCAATACACCCGTCTCTCACATGTACATGCAGTGCTGTACAGTTGTGTTGATGCCAGCAGTGCTTGGATGTTGTGTATCGGTGTTGAGTACACAGCTTCGGTGCTGGCACATTAGCTGTGCTACGGTGTTATTGATTTTCTTTGCCCCCTTCTTGTCGTTGCTGGACAGAATGTCCTCTGGCTTTGGGCCAAGTCGACTGCTGCCTGCTGTCGAGGGGGTGGTCCCGTACCAAATACTGCAATGTGATGCCCCGCCTCGAGAAGACTTGGTTGTCGTCAAGCTGCACTAAGCTTTCGCGTGTCCACAGCATCCTCGACCACACCACCCTTGCGAGGGACCCCTCAGACCGATGCCACATCTTGGCTAAAGTGACGAAAGCGGCGCCTACACTGCCTACCCCGCAGGGCTCAGATCGCGCGTTGGATGCAGTGGCGCTCTCTCGGTGGGCTGACGAGTGGTGTGCAAAGCTAGCCCCTTAAACCGAGGTGTCAGCGAACTTTGCGGAGTTGGGCTCCCTGGCTATTGGGTGTTTGCGGGAAAGTTTTGTAGCGCGAGTCAGCTTCTGTGTTGCGGCGGCGCATGTGTGGGCTTAAGGTTTTCCTTGAGTTTCGTGACGGCGAAGATGCGTGCAACATTTGCAACCCGGGACGCTTGGTTCTTATCAGCATTCTTTCTGCTGTAGGTGAAGGGAAGCGGTCGGTGGCTGGTGCCGGCGCTCAATTTCACGGCAGCTCTCATGGGCTGGCAAGAATTTATCTGCGACCTAGATTGCCAGGTTGTTTCCGCGTGGAAGCAGCCTGTAGGCCCAGCCAGAGCCCGCAAAGAGGCGATGCCGTTGCCATTGTTTGCCATTGCAAACTTGGAGAGGGCGGTCATGTCAAGTGGCAGCTTTGTGAAGTCCATGTGATGTACTGATCGCGGGGCCTTCCGACTCCCGAGCGTCTTTCACGTACGTGATAGCCCGATTTCGCAGAATCTTGGTCAGCTACGGTGGTATACCTGCCGATGTGGTGAGCAATTACTCCCTGCATTCACTCAAGGCTACACCATTATCTTGGGCCTTACCGGTTGAAGTGGAATCCGCGATGAATAGGTTCTGGGGGCATCACCGCAGTCGCGAACACGGGGAGGCAATGGTGCGCAAATACGGTAGAGAGCTAGAAGCTCGTGCAGCTGGGTGCAGCGGAGGCAGTGGGGTTGTGATTTGACTTTCCTTGCAAGAAATTCATGGAACCTCCTCAGCCCTCCTTCAAGCCTCCCTAAACCTGAGAATCTTAAACCTTAAACCCTCCTAAGCTCTAGAATTAGAAAAGCCCTGCTCCTGAAACCTTCCCTTCAAAGCCGAGGAGTCCGCGCCTTTGGTGGCTTGCTGCCATTTTTCCGCTGCCCGTCTGCACGGCTTCCCATGTTTCAGGGTTCGGTTAAGAGTTTAGGGTTCGAGGTTTAGGATGATTAGTTTTTAGGGGCCAGGGTTCAGGGCTTGGGGTCAGAACTGCCCAATGTTTTGAAATTAGGAGGTTGGGGATAAGGATTCAGGGGAAGCTGAGGCAGGCCTGGATCCACACCAGGATCACCTAGAAAAGAAGGCCACCGGAGGGAAGCCCTGCGTTCGGGTATGAATGCAAGCAGTACTTCGGCAGTGATCTTCGTTGTGTCTCTGTCGTTCTCTTCAAATCCTTCTGACGTTCATGACCACTTGTAACATTAACCTGCGTTTGTCTAAAAACCAAAAAACCCGAACCCTCAAGTTGGAAGCCTAGCGTTTCACCAGAAATGCCAAAGGCTGGCTGCATGGCTGGGCAAAGAGACGCTGAGCTCGGGTGGCTTGCCTCAGCAATGGAGGTAACACGCTGTATTTCGATCCTCTCCTAAACCCTCAACCCTAAATTTTCAACCCTCTACCTTCAACCTTTAACCCTAAGCCCTACGCTACACCCTAAACACCCTTTTCGCATGCTTCTCTTGGAAGAAGATCCTTATCAAACCCTAAACCCCCCAAACCCTAAACGCCTAAACCCTAAACCCCTAAACCTTGAAATCTCAACTCCTAAACCCTAAAACCTCAACCCGTAAACCCTATACCCTAAACCTCCAAGCCCTAAAACCTCAACCCCTAAACCCCTCAACCCCTGAACCCGTAAACCCCTAAACCCCTAAACCCCTAAACGCCTAAACCCCTAAACCCCTAAACCCTAACCCTGAACCCGAAACCCATAAACCCAAAACCGCGAAGCCCTACTTTTGTTTAGAGATCCCTACTGTTGATGGTCAAAATCCTGCATTACCCTTTACAAGGAATGTACCATAGTTCCCATAGTTTACAGTCCTTAGGGTCATGCAGGATTTTGTCCATCAGCAGTATCTCAGGGGCGGTCCCGGGCCTCGCCGAGCGCTTGGAGCTCGGAGACAGCGCCCGGTGCTTGGACGGCTCGCCCGCCGGGGGCTCAACTGTAGGATTTTGCTTAGGATTTAGGGGCCAGGGGTTTGGGGTTTAGGGGTTCAGGGTTTAGGGCTAGGTCAGGGTTTTTAGAGGGTTCCTTGCAGGGATCATATCTTGGTTCGATAAGGGATCTATAAAACGGTTGAGGGTTTAGGGGCTTGGGATTTAGGGTTTAGGGGTTCAGGGTTAAGAATTTTGTGTTTAGGGTTTACGGGCTTAGACTAGAGCAATCCAAAACCATGTCCATCTATAATTCAATTTTTTATTTGTTTTAATTTTTGTATTTGGGTTCCCTTTCAGGCCTTCCGTTGAAGGGGGCCGGAAGTTAGGGCTTTGGGTTTTAATTTGGTCCTATTTTGCTCCGGACTTGTGTTTTACAGCGGCTACACGGTTTAAGGTTTCAGGCTGTTTCTTGTTCTTCTGTGTTTTGTGTGCGGAGTATCTGGGCTATCCGCATGTGCGGGGCTTGGATGCTCTTGTGGATGAACACTGGGCCAAATAGTTACCGATATTATTCCTCAGGGCTCCGTTATACCATGATATACGCCAAAAACCTATTGGGGTTGCGGGATTTTAGGATCATGGCGGTTCGCTTTTGTAAGTTCCCGAGCCCAGGGTTTAGGTCGCAGGTTTCTAGGGTTGCAGTGCTAGGGTTGAAGTGTCGGCTCTTCGATGTCTTAACCTGGATCTGTGTTTCAGGGTTGTGTCAGGTAAGGAGGTTGACGAGGTTTCGGCAAAGGCTCAAGACAGGCCTTGAGAGAGCAGAAACCGTCATGCATGGTTCAGAGCCTTGAGCTCGTGGTGCAGGTGAACCTCTACTTGGCGCGGGGCGTCCACGCTGGGCGAAAGAAGTGGGTGATCAATTTCCAGGCTCAACAGCAAAGTTCCGGAACAACGGCAGTGCCGGACTGTCGTTTCTGCACGTGAGGATGCTGACACGGACAGTGTTTCAGTTACATCGCGGCGCGACATTTCCCCTACATAGTCTACTCTACCCTGAGGACCTACGCAGTCCAGTCCAGTTATACTATGTACTATGTACTAGATACTATACATGACGTAATATGTATTGTGCTTTATGTCTTTCGCCAGGGAGGTGGTTGGTGCACGACGTCTCCCTCTTCGGCCTCGGCATTTGGCTACTCCCACGAGGAGGCGCCTGAGATCCCAGGGTCTGTTTAGGGTTTAGGGTTTAGGGTAGAGACATGGCAGATGCCACAGGAGCCAGAAGTTACAAGGATCGTATAGACTAAACCCTAAACCAAAAGTTAGAAGAATCGTCTAGACTAAACCCTAAACCCTAAATCCCAAATCCTGAGCCTTAAGCCCTAGTTCCTGAGCCCTAAATGCTCAAGAGGGCATAGCCAGTCGCTGCGCCCTGATGCCCTTTCTTCTTGCCGAGAGGACGTCGCTCATCCCGACTTGTGCGAAGACCGCGCAAAGGTCCGAAGGTTGCATCTATTGGGTATGTGGGCGGTTGTCAAAATACGGGTCCCTGTTTGGGAACCCCAAATATTAGGTGCCGTACTATATCAGGGACCCAAAACGGGACCTTTGACAACCACCCATATAGTTGTCAGGAATGATATTTCTAATGTCAGGCTCATGACACTGGAGACTTCCCCGCAAGTCGGCCCCCAAAGCCCCGAATTGTTTCTTAGTGTTGTCAGGAAGCGTATGAATATGTAAAATGTAATATGTGACACATAAGATAAAAGTGTACACTATGTAAGATATAATGTAGAATCTATCATATTTACAGTATAATATAATATATCATCTAGTATATATATATATATATATGTATATATATATAATATCATATAACGTTTAATATGAGGTAGGTTGAAGCATATCATATAATATGTCTCATAAAACATACATGCATGCATACATACAGATACACACATCATGTCTGGGAAGGTTTGGAGCTTATCCTAAACCGTAAACACTAGGAGCCGCGAAGCAAAGCCTGAACCTTAGCATCCCCGGACGAGCATTTGGGGTTTAGGGTTTAGGGTTCAGGGGTCTAGGGTTCAGGGTTTATGGATTCTAATTCGGGGCCCCCCAGTGGTTGAAGACTCTGAAGGCTAGTCGCGGGCCACGGCAGCCGTGTCCCAGCGTTTTTTTTTCGTTGCCTATCTTTGGAATCAGGGTTTGCGGTTCTATCCCAACATGAAATCGAAACTCTCCCAACCTCAAGTAGTTGGATTCTTGCTACCAAAAACTCAAAACCGTCAAAACTATCTAAAGGCAAAAGGCAAAGCGCACTAAAGTCCCTCAACACCCTAGAAACCTCTTGAAAACAATTCCAAAACCTAAATTTAAACTAGAACCCTAAACCCGAAAGCCCTAAAGCCCTGAAGCCCTGAAGCCTTAACCCCAAACTCCTCAAACCGTAAAGCCCTGGCCCGAAGCTGCTTTTCCCAGGGGTACCATGGCAGCTCCTCCACAGATCGAGACTTCCGGGACTTCGAAGACAAAGGCTGTTAGAATGCGCGGATGCACGCGACGTTATCAGGGGTTTCTTTACGTCAGGGGTCCGTTTGGGTTTAGGGTTTGGGGCTATGCCTGTACTCGTGTGTGTGTGTGTGTGTGTGTTTATTCTGCAGGTTTGCATGTATGCCTGCATGTATGTATGCATGCTTGCAGATGGGCATCGGGTGTGCAGGTACGGGTGGGTGCAGCTGTGATGCGCATTTGGGTTTTGCCTCTCGGTCTGTCTCCACGCTCCTGCTGTAGCTCTCACGCAGCGGCAGCGTCATAGGCACTAGCAGCTTTGAAGACAGAGTCGGACATTTGTTGTCTGCTTCCAAGCTTGTTCCGGAAACGGCACCCGAAACGGCAGGGGCTTGAGATTCGCTGCGGCTTTGTGCAAGTAGTCCGTGCTTGGCACACTTCCGACTCCGTCCCGAACCCTGAACCCTGAACCCCCCCCCCCCGGTGGCAGGATATCTTTCCGGGAACCCCTCGGTGAACCCCATGATGTACAACTGGAGCCCGGGCAGCAAGGGGGTCGAGAAGGTATTCGAAATTCAGCTTGAGCTTGGCATGAAATATGTGATTGTCTATAAAAATATACCATAACACACTGTGATAGACTGGATATTACTTTATGACTATAGTATGCTATTCTACTACACTATACTATACTGTACTCTACTACACCATGTAATACTACACTATACAGTATTCAACTATACTGTATGATAACATACGATAATACATGCTCCCTTGAATTGTTGATCGGGGGAGGGGAATAGTCTCCCTTGAATTGTTGATCGGGGGAGGGGAATAGTGAAACTTGTTGAACTTTGTTCGTGCATCCTTCGCTTTAGACCTCAGGAATCGTGTCATGATCCGCAATTGCGACGGCCGTGGCCTCAAATCGACTGCGTCTTTGGGTGTTTTTGGATGTCAGTGCAGGAACATGGGTTTGCCTGATACAGACGTGCACACACTGACACACGCATCGACCCCAAAGTATGCATAAGTGCGAGTGACACTGCACTGGTACGTAGGGCATGTGCGTCCAAGCACACGTGTCCTCGAGCATCGTGGCCTGTGCAAGTTTGCAAAGTTGAAAGGACATGTATTTAGGAAGAAGCAAGTGTTGCTAACCCGAACGGTCGCCGAAGTATTGCCAACAGCAACAGATGCTGCTCCGCACCAGCATTGTTGTGTGACCGACACTGGCCCCCTGCTGACGTACAGTTTGTTTTTCGTGTAGTGTATAACCGTTTATGATATGATTGTAAACTTTTAGTCTAATCCGGAGCGACGTGACAGAACGGACATGAATGTCTGAGTATCTCTCATGTCGCCAAGGCACGATGTTCCTGAGTAGCCATGGGGAGCTTTCTACATCTTCTGGCAGACTACATTTCCGAGGTGCATTTGTGGCTTTTGACCCGAAGCCCTGAACAGTCATCTCGCGGGCGTTCGTCGGACAGCCGGCAATTCAGGGAGTTTGGGTGTAGAGGTGGGGGGGTCGAGGGTTCAGGCGCACATTTTTCTTTAGCATATAGCAGTATATTAGAGTACAATCTAGTATCTTATAGTATCTTAGAGTATCTTAGAGTATCTTAGAGTATCTTAGAGTATCTTAGGGTATATATCGTACATCATAGCGCATTCTGGTATGTTACTACAGTGTCTCGAGTATCGAGCTGCCTTCGGACAAGAAAGGGCTTGAGCCCGAATCCCGAAGCATCGTCCTCCCATCCCAGAGACCTAAAGTCTAGACTGAAACCCCAAACCCGAAACGCTGAGCCCTAAACCGTAAGCCCTAAACCCTAAGCCCTGAACCCTAGACCCTAAACTTAAACCTCAAACTCAAGACTTTCTGAAACCCCGAAGCTGCGATGTCAGGCCGCGACAATGCTTTCGCGGCCATCGAGGCAGGACGGCGCGGGTTGTAAGGACCCCTAAATAACTATCCCTGTTTTCGGAAACTCCCACAGGGGAGCTCAGGGTTGCGATATCGCTTGGTGCGATGACAGGGTTTAGGGTTCAAGGTTTGGGTCTAAGGGGTTAAGGTTTAGGGGTCTGTTGAAGCATGGTGAGGTTGAAGTATGGCGAGCCGGTCGGATTTGGGTTGCCTTGCTGACAGGCGCAAGAATCCGCATGCTTCACCCAGAGACCCCAATACCACTTAATTAAGACAGATGGCTTAAATCATATAGGGCTTTATATTATGATTTAAGCTAAATTCCTTAATTAAGGGGCATTGGGCTCTCTGGGCAGTCTCTGAAGCACAGCAGGTGCTGCTGCAGCACGGCTTGGCCGATGCGTCCGACGTGTCCCGGGGCTGCACGAAGCCACTACGTGGCCCAACCCAAGGCCTGAGTTCATCCTAATGTGAACAGAGCAGTTTATTATGGCATATTCTATTCTAGTATGTTATGGTAAAAGTTCGAAGTAAATCTCTGGGTTTCCACAAGAGGGCCCCGGCATTTGTGCCAATCCCGATTTTGCCTTGTCCGGACAATTCAGCACTATTGAGCCCCCCCCCATCCAGAGCTGGAACATGCATGGGCGAACTTCGATAAGGGTAATGTAGGGGTCCTTAATAATTAGAATAGGGTTATTGACTTTCTGTTGGCAGGGATGATCCTGCAGCCGGAGATAAGAAGGAGTTCAACAAAAATCACCCCAACATTGAACCCTAAACCCAAAGGGTGCTTAACAGAAAGACCCTACCTAAACCCCCAACAGTAGGTAACAGAATGGCCCAAAACCTATAAAAAGGCTATTATTCTACATGCTTTTAGGGTCCAGGTAAACCCAAAGCCTTTAGGAAAGCCCTAAACCCTAAACCCTAAACCTCTAAGGCTCCTCGCGGGCTGCTCTGCGGGGGCCGTGGCTGCGGTGGTGCCCATCGCTTACCTTTGGGGTTTAGGGTTTGGGTTTAGGGTGTAGGGTTTGGGTTTAGGGTTTAGGGCTTAGGGTTTAGGGGTACAATTTTGACTACTATTACTACCATTCTTCCATTCCCTAGTAACCAAAGTAAGATCGGAGTTCAGGGTTTGGACTTGGGGTCAGGGTTTTTGGGGTTAGCGGCGTTTTGGCCTAGGGTTAAGTTCAGGGCTTAGGGGTTTAGGCAGGGTTTAGGATTTCGGTTTTAGGATTTGGGGTTTGTTGGGGTTTTGTGTTTAGAAGCGTAGCTTCTTGGGATCTGGGTTTGACTGGGCTTGAGGGTCCGCCCAGGTGTCTCAGCCTTAATAAAGGGGCCCTGAGGTTGTCAAGGCCCGAATGATTCGAAGAAGGTCAGGGTTTGCGATACGTTCTCGTATGATTTTCTAGGGACTACGCGGGAATCTTGTTGCGAACTATTCTGATCCCTGTTTTAGGTACTCGCAGATGAGCTCCGGCGGCGGGTGGAGGAAGCTGTGGCAGCGCGAGGAGGCATGCAACCCTGGGCGAGGGCGAGGGCGCAGGGTTTAGGTTTAGGGTTGAGGGTCCTTTTAGGGTTTGTGGCTGCTGACAGGTCGCGTTTTCGTGGCCGCGCTGGCAGACAGCGGCGTGGCGCGGATGCACATGGTCATGCCGTGATTGCTAGTCGAGTGTGTAGAAAGCGGCATAAGCATCTGCAAATCAGTTACGCAGGAGCATCCACAGGGTGCACACTTGAAGCCTTTCCATGCAGACTTGGACAACTGCAGGCAGGGTTGGGGGTCGAGAAAGAATTGGATACTCGATTGCCACAGCTTTCCGGCTGCTCAAGTCGTGCACCTTCCGAGAAATGGTGAACTTCGGAGAAAAGCACAGGCAACAAGTTTTGACGCCTTCCCACGCAGCCTGTAAGCTAATTCACCAGGAGGCCTGATTGAACCGAACATATCCGAACAGTGCACTCGTATGGCATGGCACCTTGTTTTACCTTACCCTATGCCACGCGCGGCATTGCCTTCCCTTCTGCAGAGACGCACTAAACCCGCCTAAACCGCAAGCCGTCAACCCTGAACCCCAAACCCGAACCCTAATAAACCATTAAACCCTGAACCGTAAAGCCCTAAACCGCAAACCCTAACCCCTAATCCCTAAACCCCTAAACCCCTAAACCCCTAAACCCCTAAACCCCTAAACCCCTAAACCCCTAAACCCCTAAAGCCCTAAACCCCTAAACCCCTAAACCCCTAAACCCCTAAACCCCTAAAGCCCTAAACCCCTAATAACCCCTAAACCCCTAACCCCTAATAACCCCTAACCCCTAGATCCCAAGCTTCAAGGTGTGTGACGCCTTCCGTTTGGCGCTGCAGATAGTACCCTAAGTAGTAGGACCCTTGTTATAAGGACCTGAAAAGGTTCCCCTATTTTTCGGAAACTCCCATACTGTAGGAACCTGATTCAGAAACCCTGGGCCTATACCCCCCAAATACTAGGATTCACATAAGGATTCCTAGTACGGCGGCCGCCGTAAAGGCCCGCAAGGTTTCTTAATCAGGTTCTTACATTCTTATAGTACCCTTATAGATCCCTTATAGCAACCCTTACAGACCCCTTTAAAGGAACCCTAGTAGGCCCTAAAATTAGGCCCAAGGATTCTTAATCAGGTTCCTACATTGTGATAATACCCTTATAGTAACCCTTATAGGCCCCTTAAAGGAACCCTAAGATTAGGCCCAAGGTTTCTTAATCAGGTTCCTACATTGTGATAATACCCTTATAGATCCCTTATAGTAACCCTTATAGGCCCCCTTAAAGGACCAAGGTTTCTTAATCAGGTTCCTAAAAAGCATTATTATAGTACCCTTATAGATCCCCTATATATCCCTTATAGTATAGATCTCTTCTAGAACCCAAATATGATCCCTTTAAGGAACCCTAAATCTACATTAGCTCAGGTCTTCCCTTCCTGGGCGGCGGCTGAAGCGCCTCCAGGTTCCGGCGGGCTTTGGGTTCAGGGCTTCAGGGTTTCTGGAGTTTAGGGTTTAGGGTTTAAGGTTTAGGGTTTAGGGTTTCAAGTTTAGGGTTTAGGGTTTAGGGTTTAGGGTTTAGGGTTTAGGGTTCAGGGGTTCTGGAGTCTTTTTCTTTAGGAGTGTAGGGGTTCAGGATTCTCTAAACGAAAGTAGGACTTAGCGGTTTTGGGTTTGGGGGTTAGGGGTTCAGGGTTCAGGGCTTAGGGGTTTAGGAGTTTAGGGTTTAGAGTTTTAGGGGGTTTAGGGGTTTAGAGCTTCTGGGGTTTGGGAGTTTAGGGGTTTAGAGTTTTTGGGGGGTTTAGGGGTTTAGGGGTTTAGGGTATACAGTGTTTACGTGCTGGTCTGAGGTTTCCTCACTGGATCTTTGGGAAAGCTGAAGTTTCACTCGGAACGTACTGTGCGAACCCTAAAATTCTAAACCCACCCTGTCTGGGCATAGCAGACGTGCCGCAACCGGGGCAAAAGGAGTTCAAAAAACACACACCCACCCAAACCCTAGACCCTAAACCCACCCTTTAAACAAGAAAGGTACCTTGCACTTCCCCTCCCTCGCCGAGCTCTTCGCACTGGGCAACGTGAGCGGCGCGCTGCCGCAGGGTTGCCTTGAGCAAGGCGCGCAGACAGGTATAAGGTTTTCTTTGTCACAGTTGGGTAACATGTTAAATTTTTATGGGTACTTAAACCCAACAAGGAATAAAAATGTACATTTTTAATCCCATCCCAACCATGAACTAGTTTTAGGAAACTCAAAACCTCAAAGCCAAAAAGGCTGCCTTAAACACATACAGCCCTACAGCGCCAAACCATCCCCGATTAGGGTTTACCGTTTCACCGGATTTCTTCTCGAGTTCTCTCCACCCTTTGCTAGTCTTGGTTCGTGATTTGAAGACGACATTCTGTTTTGCGGCTCAGGTGGGGTTGAGAGATCTTCTGCAGGTATAGTTTGAGTGCTGTTTGTGGTGAGGTACATCATGACAAACTTCGGTCAGCGCAATTTTCACCCGTGCGGACACTCCATCCTTCTCCATGACTGAATGAAATGGGTGCGATCCTCTTCTTGAGCTGTTTGTGTCCGAGAAAGTAGTTAGACCTCCAGAAATGCCCCAGCATCCTCTGAAATCAGCAGAAAGGTGTTTCGTTGCCTGAGAAATTACAGGCTTTGTGCTGTCAACATAGCCAACCCTCTGAACGGAAATGACAGTGGTAACCACAAGGGCATCAATATAAGCGGCAGTAATCAACTGCGTTGAACCGTGGCCCACTGTGATCCTCAACTTGTCGTTCCAGCTTCGCCATACTGGCACAGAGGAAAAATCAGCTTGAATCATGTCTGAGGTTTTACGATAGTCAGTGCATGCAGCCGTGTCTAGAGAATGCTACCAAGGGGTGCACGTGTAATTTCAGCAGACCTGTTCTTGGGGTTGTAGCGCAATGCCATGGGCTCCGGGGTGTCAGCTCCCAAGAAGTACAGAGCGCCAGAGGCTGAAGAGCAGCTGAACACAGAATCTGCAGAGCTCTCTGACTACTACTCTCAGAGGTACCTTGCCGGCGAGCTCTACACCGGCCGCTTCTACAGCGAAAGTGGCCTCCAGGAGGTGCTGACCTACAAATATGAAGCCCCGGATGGAGATGTGCATGTTTGGCGCCATGCCTTTGACCTAAAGCCTTTCGGGAGAGGCGAGAAAGTGGTGACTCTGTACCATTACACGGACGAGCTAGCTTTCAGCAATGTGGGAAACATGGAACAGACGGCCTCTGAACTGTTCGCGTCCCTGGTGGACGAACGTGCGCATTTTGGGAAGGGCTTATATGCTACCCAGCATGAACCAGCTGTGTGGGGCTCACGCCTACGAATCCTGTTGAACAACTATTCGAACGGGAACCCTTTGTGTCCAGAAACGAAAGAATCCCGGAAGAGGGATATTGAGTGGGGAAATGGCAGAAAGTCTGGTCATCGAGCAGCTTTCTGCATTCCTCTCCTGGTCCCGTGCTCCATCGCCTACAACATCTTTGAAAGACACACGCCAGACATGGCCGAGAGGACCGTGAAGGACTCAGCTGGGCAAGAACGTCCCATCACGCTGGGAGAAGATAACCAGGGCCGAGCAGTGCACCGGAACCGCGACGTGTGGGTCATCAGACTGGAAACCGATGGTGCTTTGCAACACGCAGCGGCTGATACAGATGCTGTGTTGGAGCTCCTTCAACTTCGACTGCAAAAGCTCCGTGCTCTCGGAGATGGCGAGGCAACTGCAAAGTGCATGCTCGAGCTAGCGCGAAGGTGTAAGGGTCGTGGCAGGTATCCAGAAGCGGAAGAGCTGAATAGAGAGTGCCGCAAGATCTGCGAGTGTATTCTTGGCCCGGAACATCCATTGACGTTGAGCAGCATGAACAATCTGGCTGCGGTTCTTGAGGCTAGCGGCCAACTTGCAGAAGCCGAGCCTGTTTACAGGGAGGTTTTGGAGCAGAGCCAGGCCACGCTGGGCGCAGAGCATCCGGAAACATTGGGCAGACTCGACAGTTTGGCGAAGCTTCTGTATGCCCGCGGCAAGTTGGCAGAGGCCGAGCCCCTGTCGCGCGAAGCTGTGAAGAAGAGCCGGGGAAAGTTGGGCCCAGAGCATCGGCAGACATTGGTCAGCGTCAACAACTTGGCCGCGCTCCTCTTCGCCCGGGGCAAACTCTCAGAAGCAGAGTCTCTGTATCGGGAAGCTTTAGAGAAGAGTCGAGCCAAGATGGGCGAAATGCATCCGGAGACTTTGATCAGCATCAACAATTTGGCAACTCTTCTTCATGCCTGCAGTCGGCTGAAAGAAGCCGAGCCTCTCTACCGAGAGGCTCTCCAAAAAAGCCGAGCGAAACTTGGCTTAGATCACCCCGACACGTTGAGCAGCCTCACCAACCTGGCGGCCCTCCTCCACGCCTGCGGCCGATTTGCAGAAGCCGAGCCTCTCCTGCGCGAAGCTTTGGAGAAGTGCCGGGCTACGCTAGGCCCAGACCATCCAGAGACGTTGACGAGCCTCAACAACTTGGCAATGCTACTCCAGGCTTGTGGCCAACTGACTGATGCTGAGCTTCTTTTCCGAGAGGTTGTGGAGAAGAGACGCGCCAAGCTGGGCAAGCTGCACCCACACACCTTGGGGAGCATCTTCGACTTTGCCCAGCTGATGGAGTCGATGCAGAAATTTGAAGAGGCTGAAGAACTCTACCGGGAAGAGCTTGCAGGCACCAGAGAAGCAAACGGACCTGGAGAGCAGGGAATTTTGACTTCGATGGCGAAGTTGGCTGTTTTCTTGCATGAGCGCGGGAAGCTGGAGGAGTCACAGGAGCTTCTGCAAGAGTACAGACTGGCCAGCCGAGCTGTCCAGGATGCTCAGTAGATGCCATGGGCCGTTTGCCCACGGCAAAAAAAGCAGCATGGCCAGAAACCATCGGCCCGCCTCAAGAGAAAGCAAGATGGACATCCGAGCAGTTGCGTTCTTCGCAGCTCAGTGCCAAAATGCAGGAGCGTTTGTTGCTCGAGGATTTCGGCATCGTCTTGTTCAGGGTCCTCTCATGTTCTGTTGGGGACCGATGGGCGGAGTACGAAGGTTCAAGGCACTCACGCGTGTTCGAAAAGGCATGCGTATCATGAGTGTGTGAAAGAGCACGATCAGAAACCAAAATGGCGAGGGTGTGCCTCGGCATGTGGCTCCCTGCCGTGCCTGTCTTGCGTGCACTACTCGCCGATCATCACCAGACAGCTGACAGCGCAATGTCAGCAGTGCATAGAATCGCGCGCTGTCGCCGAAACCTGCCAGCGCAAAGACTCTCCGCCTCTATCGTTTTGCTGGTCCCCACTCTGCCTCTCGCTCCCTTGACTGTAGGATCCTCGGCTCCTGGCGTCTGCCAGGGCCTTTTGGGGAGTCTTGTCCAGAGCACTCTCCCTGCCTCAATTCTGACCTCAAGCCTCACTATTACTATTACTATTACTATTACTATTACTATTAATATTACTAGTACTATTAAGCTATTACTATTACTATTACCCTGCTTGGGCCCTTGGGGTTTCTTTGGGGAGGCCACGGCTGGCGCTGCCTCTTGCTGGGCACGGCGCTGCCATTCGTCAGGTCCGGCGACTGTGTAGCACCCGTAGCTGCCGTAGCACGCATTCCGGGCTTATGGCATTGTGACAATTCACTCACTGCGAAGTATGCTAGGGTTGCTAGGGTACTTCGTAGAGACTTCTTGCCTCAAGACGTTGGAGAATGTATCGCGCATATCACTCGCAAGGTTTCTTTGCAACCGGGTTTCTTTGCAACCGCATGAATCAATGGCACAGCTCTTTCACTTCTTCTGCGTCGCCCACGAACGATATTAATGCAGAGCAGTCAGAGAGGGCAGGGTCCAAGCCAGGCCACCCCAAGATACTTCAGCGTCTGCTCCCTGAAGACTTCAAACATTAAGCGCTCTCCCGTTAAACCCTTTCTCCCAAAACCCCAAACCCTGAACCGCAAGCCCTCGCCCTTATACCCCAAAGGCCTGAACCCCAAACCCCGAGGATTGCTCGAAGCCTAAACCCTCAACTCTACCACCGCCAGGACCCCGGCTTTTGCGTTGCAGAGCCTCGTCGACTCTTGGTCCTTGACCCCGCGGCCAACAGCCGGCGCACTGGCGCCGGGCACCCCGGGCACCCTGAGAACGAAGAGGTTACGGCTTGACCGGATCTTTATTAGGGGATTGGTATCTCGTGATAGTTCTTCAGTGCAATACGACCCTTTGTGACTGGACCCTGCCTGTGTAATGAACTTGTCTTAAAATCCCAAGAGAATGTCACAAACGTTATTTTTGATTAGGGTTCTAAGGGGGGTATAGTTCTAGTTGGGCTTGAGGTAGTAGAATGGCGATAGGGTTATATGGGAGTACGATAATCAGGACCCAAAAAGGGATCATAATTTTGACAATCTTATAGGAGGTTATAGGAGCCCTATAGATCCCTTTAAAGGAACCCCAAAAGGAGCCCTCATAGGAGCCCTATAGATCCCTTTCCATATGGGTGGGTCTTGTGCTGCGCTGCGACTTGGGGCTGAACAACGTGGTCGAATTTTTACGGTTTGGCGGTTTCCGGGTTTCGGGGTTTAGACAGGGTTTAGGGTTTCAGTAGAAAGATACCGGCGCTAACTTTTCGGAGCATTGCAGACGGATTTCAAGCCGTCTTGGCTTATCTTTTCGGATGAGGGTTTGGGGTTTGTTTAGGGTTAAGGTTGTCGGCTGTCCCTAAACCCTAAACCCTAAATGCTGCTCTTCGTGATCCGTGCGCCGTTTCACATAGCAGGGAGGCTCGCAGCTCCCACACCCGAACCCTACTATGGGGGCCTTAATAATTACCTCTACTGTTTTTGTGGGTTTCCTTAAAGGGCGCCATAAGGGATTTATAGCAGGATTGTATAGTAATTACCTATGCTACTTTTGTGGGTTCCTCATTATTTTGATTATTATACTAGTATAATGGGCCCCAAAACCTTTTCCAATTGTTAAGGCCCCTAGATTAGACCCCGAACCGGAGCCTGAAGCTAACGGGTGGTCTCTGTGAAAGGTCTCTGAATGGACACATGTCGGAGCTCATTGTGGGCTCGATCAAAGGCCGGCAGAAGTCCATTTCTTTTCGTAGACATAGACAAGACTGCCAGGATTGAGGATGGATTAGTGAATAGGCCCGCAAGCCTTGAATAGGCCCGTAAGTCCTAAACGCACCAGTCCGACTGTCAAGGCCCTAAAACCCGTGTTGGTCATGCGGAGAGGGAGAGAGGGCCATTGCATACAACAAAAAAACCCCTAAACCCCGTAAGCCCTAAACCCCAAAACCACCAGGCGTCTGTGATTCTGGGCAGTGCCACGCTCCCCTTCCAAAGCCTTGCTCTCAGGCCTGCAACAAAATCGTATCATGTATGGTATACTTAAACTGGGACTTTAAACAAGGAGATATGGGTTCTGATGTACAATGAAACCGGGACCACACTCAAGGGGGTACAGGTTATGGTACAATTGGGAATCCGGACTATAACCAACGGGATTTAATATCTCCAACACCACGAAAGGGTTGAGGGTTTCCCGAAAGTGCACTGCAGGACCTCATGGTGCGGCCCTAGACAACTGCGTCCACCACTGCAAGGACTTGATGGATGAAGGGCTCCCTAAAACCTGCACCCTAAACCCAAAGCTATAAAAGCCCTAAACCCTAAATTGCGGGATACAGGAGCAAGGCAGGGGTAGGAGCGAGGGGGAGGGGGCAGGCACACCACTAGGATCTGATTCTTATTATTACCTACTGCGACGACGACGACGACGACGACGACGACGACTACTACTACTACTACTACTACCACTCTTACTCCTACTGCTGCTGCTACTGCTACTGCTACTAGTGCAAAAGCTACTATTCGTCATACCAGTATTGCTACCAACACTCCAAGTTCAGTAGCTTGAGCGACGAAGATGAACTTCTGCTTGACGACTGGACTGATTGGACAGTTTATCACTTATTCAAGCTTCAGCGCTGGCAATCACCTACGTATCAATGTTACAGCATAGTCGGCAGTTTCCCGATAGCCCAGACAGTGATACCATGAAGAACTGTGGTTTCACAGTCCTTATCCTGAATCCATGGGGGTGGTTGTGAAAACTATGGTCCCTTCTTCGGTCCCTCATATAGTATGGCACCTCAAATATAGGGTACCCAAAAAGGGACTCCAATTTTGACCACCACCCATGAGCTTCTAAGCTCGGAGCCCATGGCAGGCGTGGGGTGAGATCTTCTGGGGCGGAGTCAGCAACAGCGAGGCAGGCTTTCGAATTGCAGAGTTTAGCGGTTTAGGGGTTTAGGGGTTTAGGGGTTAGGGTTTAGGGGTTTAGGGTTTAGGGGTTTAGGGGTTTAGGGGGTTTAGGGTTTAGGGGTTCCGGTTTATGCTTTGGGTTCTGAGATGGCTCGCGAGGTGCACAATGTTCAGACAGAGGGCCAAGTGTTCGACAACGAATCGCAACTACTTAAAGGATCATGGGACTTAGTAACTATAGTTATAAGTCCCTTAATTAGGGTTTTTAGTAATTATAGGTATAGTTACCTAGTTACTAAGTCCATCTAAGTCCCATGATCCTTTAAGTAGAATACTAGCCTTACAGTAGCCGTAAAAACAGCCCTCTATGACCCCTGTAGTCGCCTTATCGTACCCTTCTGGAAGCTTTTTGTAGCCGTTTCTAAACTCCTAAACTTACCCTAAATCCTGAACCCCTCACCCCTAATCGCTAAGCCCCAAACCCTTGATCCTAAACCCTAACCTAATACCCCTCGGCCCTAAATCCTAAACCCTAAACCCTTAGATGCCGGCGGAGTCCTGGTCCCATGTCATGAGGCTTTTGAGCGTTGGTTCAACCAGCGGCGATGGGAGTGGGCCAGGGGTGAAGCCGCGGTCCAAGCAACTTCATCCTTCTGGATTTGGGGGTTTGGGGTTTGGGGGTAAAATCCTAAACCACCATAAACCAAAACCATTGCTGGTGCATTTAGCATCATTCGAGTAACCGCACCCGGACTCAAGTTCATGTTTCGCCGCTGCCCTTCCTCCTGCTGTAGCTGCTTCCAACTACCTGCAGCTGCTGCTGCTGCTGCTACTGCTGATGCAACGGCACCAATTTCGACGACGACTACGACTACGACTATGGCTCCGACGCCGACGACCGCGATGACGGCGACGACGACGGCAATTACTTCCTACAAGGAGTTACTAGTACTTCAACTACTGCCTGTCGTCGTATTGTTGCATGCATACATGCTTGCACAAAGTCTTATCCTGATGGTACTAGCAGTACTTGCTTTGGTCTTTGTTATCTTGCTACTTTCATGTATACCTCATGCATGACTAGCAATGGCTATCATTACAAACTGTACAATGGCCAAGAGTTCCATTCGCACGACTATCACTTTAAGGCATGGCTTTTTTCTGAACATCACACAGCGGACTGCTGCAATCGCGGAGCAAGGTGCGGGAGGATGGTTGCTGCAGCATTTTGGCCGAAACATCCTGTCGGCCTCAAAATTTCCATGCCGCAATGTTCACGATCTTCGTTCTATTCGCTGCCGTCGGTGGCAGCGCAAGCAGCTCTCTCGCTCTCGCAGAGGAAGATTGCCAAGACGTAAAGCCGGTAGGCTTCTCTCTGCTGCAAACCCACCTGCATACCAGCGACCGCCGTGCAGAAGCCCCGTATCACTGGGGCTCCGGTCGCGGGAACTTTCCAGAGTATGCGGTGTCTACACATCCTGCACCGTTCAATCTATCAGAGACATTCGCATGGCAGTGGCATCATCCACTTGGTAGATTTGCGACGCTGACGTATGGCACAGCCATAGACGGGCAAAACAACATCTATCTCTCGGGAGCAGATGGGGTCAGGAAGTTTGACAAGAATGGTGTCATGATTTGGGAGTATGGGTCGCTTCCGGCAGAGGTGATGAATGCACCATCCTTGTACGACGGGATGGTGTACGGCAGCGACACTTTCGGTCATGTCTTCGCCTTGGATATGCAGACGGGCAAGCAGGTGTGGAAAACACAAGTGGCTGATAGCATAGGCCAAGACAACGGCTTCAACATGGTCCGTGAGGGTGTCGCGCTGACAGCGTGTGATTGGCGACTGCCATCTCCAAATAAGGAGGCCAACCAGAAAGTGAAGGCTCTCAATGCAAGCACCGGCGAGGAGCTGTGGACATACGAGCCAGACACTGCTGTTTGGAATTTCTTGCCCCTGTTCGTGGACGAGAGCTCGTTCGTGTTTCAGGATATGACCGGCAAGGTCTACCGCCTGAATTTGATGACCGGTGTGGTGCTGTGGAAGGCTGGTGGGCTGAACGGCACATGGACCGACGGCAGTGCGGCGGTGGGCCCCAACGGCTTGGTGTATGCCGTGAACAACAATCACCCCCCATCGTCGTTCATGAAGTTCATGTCAGACTCCTACCCCGGCACACTTAGCGCCTACAACATTAGCGATGGAGAGCTGGTGTGGGCGGTGACCACACCTCGTCCTCCAAACAATGCTCCAGCCGTTGGACATGTCATGAATCTTCCTGGCCTGTCGGTGGTTATCCCCTTGTGCATGCAGGTACTTCCGGGCTCGACTTGCGATGTCCACGTCTATGATGCAGAAACTGGTGGCCTTCAGTGGATATTCCACGGGCCAACCCAAACAGGTCTGCTTCAGGCTGGTGATGCTGAGGGCATCTTGGGCCGGGTCGCGCGTGGAGTCCGCTCAACGTGCTTGCCGAATGGATGGAGTGCCCCCACGATCGACTCGCAGGGGACAGTCTTTGTGGGCAACGAGGAAGGAAATTTCTACGCTCTCAGAGACTTGGACGGTGATGGCGTGACCTTCGGGGACGAGGAGGTGGCACTCTACGACACGAAGGCAGCTTTTTCAGGGTCTTCCAGCCCAGCCATTGCCCCAGGCATCCTGGCCATAGCTTCCTGCGACAGCCTCTTCGTTTTCAAGGGGTGAATGTGTGATTCCGGTCTTCTGGCAGACGAACACAGCATTCGAGGAGTGAGGCCAAACAGCTCGGATGCCTCGCGTCAGGAATCCCACTGGTTCAGACAGAGCCCCCTAGCCAGTTCCTGGTCGAATATAGAGGTCGGTATACTTACTGATAGGCTTCCCTTGTAACCTCCACAGAAGCCGCTTACTTTCCTGCCAAACCCAATTCCAATTATTGAGGCCCCACATAAATACATACATGCCTATCTACCAACCAACCTACCTACCTGCCTACATACATACATACATACATACGTACATATGTACACATACATACACACGGACATACATGCATACATACGTAAATGCCTACCTACATGCATGCATACGTACAGTAGTTACATACATACTTACATGCATACATACGCTCGTGTACATACTGGTAATTATGTATTATTCCGGCGACGGAAGCTCGCGTGGCTTTTTAACATGTAGTCCTTAGGAACTGTAGCTCATATGCTTCTATAGCGCAGCCTGAGAAGCATAGCCGTGACATAAACCATGCTGTTGCTGCAGCCGGCTGAGATCTCCTATCAGCCCTGGGCTTTCCATGTCGCCATGAAAACGATCCTCGCCCTCCTAGTTGCCCTTGGCATCACAGGCGGGTGTAGCTCCGCCGGAGGGGAAGAATGCCAAGAAACAGAGCAGACACAGCTCTCTTTGCTGCAAACCCACCTGCTTACAAGCGACCGCCGTGCAGAAGTCCCGCATCACTGGGGCTCCGGTCGCGGGAACTTTCCAGAGTACGCCGTGTCTACGTATCCTGCACCGTTCAAGCTGTCAGACGCCTTCGCATGGCAGTGGCATCATCCACTTGGTAGATTTGCAACACTGACATATGGCACGGCCATAGACGGAGACAGCAACATCTACCTCTCGGCAGCAGATGGGGTCAGGAAGTTCGACAAAAATGGTGTCATGATTTGGGAGTATGGGTCGCTTCCGGCAGAGGTGATGAATGCACCATCCTTGTACGACGGGATGGTGTATGGCAGCGACACTTTCGGTCATGTCTTCGCCTTGGATATGCAGACGGGCAAGCAGGTGTGGAAAACACAAGTGGCTGATAACATCGGCCAAGACAACGGCTTCAACATGGTCCGTGAGGGTGTCGCGCTGACAGCGTGTGATTGGCGAAAGCCATCTCCAAATAACGAGGCCAACCAGAAAGTCAAGGCTCTTAATGCAAGCACGGGCAATGTGCTGTGGACATACGAGCCAGACACTGCTGTTTGGAATTTCTTGCCCCTGTTCGTGGACGAGAGCTCGTTCGTGTTTCAGGATATGACCGGCAAGGTCTACCGCCTGAATTTGATGACCGGTGATGTGCTGTGGAAGGCTGGTGGGCTGAACGGCACATGGACCGACGGCAGTGCGGCGGTGGGCCCCAACGGCTTGGTGTATGCGGTGAATAACAATCATCCGATCTTATCCTTCCCGACGACAGAGTCCAACCCCGGCACGCTCAGTGCCTACAACATTAGCGATGGAGAGCTGGTGTGGGCCGTGACCACACCTCGTCCTCCAAACAATGCTCCAGCCGTTGGACATGTCATGAATCTTCCTGGCCTGTCAGTGGTTATGCCCTTGTGCCAGCAGGTACTTCCGGGCGCGACTTGCGATGTCCACGTCTATGATGCAGAAACTGGTGGCCTTCAGTGGATCTTCCACGGGCCAACCCAAACAGGTCTGCTTCAGGCTGGTGATGCTGAGGGCATCTTGGGCCGGATCGCACGTGGAGTCCGCTCAATGTGCTTGCCGAATGGATGGAGTGCGCCCACGATCGACTCGCAGGGGACAGTCTTTGTGGGCAACGAGGAAGGAAATTTCTACGCTCTCAGAGACTTGGACGGTGATGGCGTGACATTCGGGGACGGGGAGGTGGCACTCTACGACACGAAGGCATCTTTTTCAGGGTCTTCCAGCCCAGCCATTGCCCCAGGCATCCTAGCGGTAGCTTCCTGCGACACTCTCTTCGTATTCAAAGAGTAGGCCGCTGTGAAGAAGCCATTCTTGGCCTCCATTACCCACCATCCGAACAGCGTGTGAAGGCATCATGCTGCCAGGACAGATGGTCATGCAGATGTAGAGAAGCTGCAAGATCTGTCGTGTTGGCACAATTCGCCTGACCTGCTTACAGCAAGAGCTTTGCAGGCTTGGGGGGGAGGTGCTCTGGAGACTGCCACAGACCCTTTGCCGAAAACGCGTCGCGCCAGCATCCCTTCTGTCGCATTCAGAGTCAAAGCTCCCCGCCTTCACTACATTGCTATAGTCGTATAATAATAATAATAATAATAATAATAATAATAATAATAATATATATATATATATATATATATATATAGTGTATCGTATTTCGCATATGGCATATAGCGTATGGCATTTGGCATACAGAAGTGTGCCGAGCGAAGAGCTTTCCGCAGAGGCCCCCGGTGAGGGACAGGGCTGGCCTTTGCTGCCTTCTACTTCGCCGGCATTCCCCGGCTGCTACCCAGGAGAGGGGAGGGCTTCGGGCTGAGGGCTACGATAAGTGTACTGTCCGGGTACTTTAAAGGGGTTTACCCCAAACCCTAAAACCCTGAAGCCCTAAACCCTAACCCTTTTTCGGTTTAGGATATCGGGGTTCGGATCATAGCGATATCGGGGTGGGGAGAGTTCTGCCTGAGTTAGGGAGCTGCGCTTTTTTGGTTGTAGCACCATACATCCCAAAACCTTTTCTAGTTACTTTCGTTGTCCACGGCCCGCGAAGCGACTCCCCCATAGAACGCAGTAAAAAAGTCGTCTTGCGCCCCTTTCCGTCTTCAGGCCCCTAGGTTAGGGCGATTATTCCTGACGGCCCGTTTCAGCAGCAGAGGTCAGGCTAGACTATCTGAGGACTTCGGGTTGGGCGTTTAAGGTCACGGTTTTTAAACCCTAAACCCTTAAACCCTTAAACCCTAAACCCTAAACGATTCCGTAAGGTTCCTCGTAATACCTTCAGTACGACCTATGCCCTTCCTCTCAGATTTCCCTATCATCACTATATAGGGTTTAGGGTTTAGGGTAAGGCTCGCTAACCATCGCAATCCTTTTATCATTCATGCCGACAGCTTCTTTTGTAGTTCGGATTGCGGATTGAAAAATCGGGGGTTCAGGGTTTAGGGATTCGGATTCAGGGTTGCGGTAGTGGGGTTTGGGCGGGGTCCTTGGCCTGAGTTCCATGGCTTCGTTTGAACATCGGTGCTGCAACTTGATATCGCGGCCTTATTCATTCGAATGGGGCTTTGGGGTATGTTATACTATAGTTATATTAAGGACCCCCCCACACACAAAAATAATACAGGTAATTATGAATGCCCTTATATGAATCTGGGCTTGGCGGGCTTATAGTTGACGCGAGTGCAAGAAGTGTCAGGGTTGCAGCACTACAAACACCGTTCCGAGGGCTCGTTCCCCCAACCCCCGAAAGCCTTCGACCTCTTCGGCAAGCCTTCTTGTGAGCCCCTGGGAAGCCCTAAACCCTAAAACCCTAAAGTGAGCCTTAAAGGAACCCTCTTCCCGCCTTTGCCAAAGCTGCAGGACAGGCAGGCCATGTGAAGTGGCATTCCAGCGTGCGCCGGCTGGGCAACATCGATTCAGCTCTAGAGGGAAAGAAGACAGGGGGCCGGGGCGAAGGGCGAAGGGGTGGCGCGGGGTGTCATGACACTAAATAATGTGTTGGAATGCATATACTATATGCTCTGTTGGCTTTAGGCTTCGGTTTTCGGGAAAAAGGTGCGACAGACGGGCAGGCTAATGAAATGAAAGCCAGACTCCAAAGACTCGAGATGCGGAATTCCCGGAACCTCTCCCCTGCACGAACCCCAAACCCTACACAGTTCAGCAAGTAGCTGGAAGCCGATGCTGTGGTACCGTAAGCTTCTTGTATTTCCTGGCGCTGAGAATCTCAAGGCCAGCAGAGAATTGAGCAGCAAGTCCAAAACCTTTGGCAAGAGAAGCCCGTACCCTGCCCTAAACCCTAAACCCTAAACCCCTAAACCCTAAACCAAACTTTTAGCTGCATCGATTCAGCCGATTTTCCGCGTTCGATGTTCCGCTTCGCCAAGCTGTTTCCAGTTTTGATGCCGCATGGAGCACCCAACACCGCGGGACCACGGTTATAAGTACCCTCACTAGGGTTATAAATATAGATAGATACAACTTCAGTTATCTAAAGATTGCTCCGTCTGTTAGAGCACGCAGGCTAGGACAGCTGCTAGCACTTAGCCATCACGTTGTAGGGTTTGTAATCGCAGTGCAGGGTTTAGATACATAGTGACTTCGGCACAAAGCGCACGGTGTGGCCGCTGCACTTCGTTCTGCTAAGAATTCAAGAATGATGCTAAGGATTCTGCTGATGGTGTGACTCTTTTGTTCGGCTTATTCTACTGCAAGCAGCAGGCAGCACAGACAGTTGGTGACAGCCTGAGTCTTGCAGTCTTCGGATACCTAAGTACGTCACGAGCCATGGCGGGTGGCGACGAGGTGACCCTCCAGGCAAGGCATAGGATGGCAGTGGCCCAGCCACAACCCAGAGACTCCAATATCCCTTAATTGAGGAATATTCCTTAAATCATATTAGGGGTCCTACTATAATTTAAGGTATATTCCTCAATTAAGGGATATTGGAGTCTCTGGGAAGTCACACCTAGCGACCGGATGACGCGGGCCTTCATGCAGGCGATCGTGCCGGCGGGCGGCGGGACCTGTCAGGAGGCCGATGTCCCAGCGACATGGGTCTGAGGTGATCGACCTTTCCGCACCCTTTCAGCTCGCGTCGACGTTGACAAGCCCAAACAAGCTGCTTGCTGGGTTTGTTTCAGCTTCTTGCTTGGCATGATGACATTTCTTTCTGCTTTTGCCCACTCTCGCAAGGTAAATGCCCTTTTCTGGCTTGCACACGGCACTAGCTCCCTTTCCCGCAGCAAGACCTTCGTACTCTCAACCATCTGTCGAGCAACGACCCCCGAAGCGCATGGAGGTGGAGCTGAAGGCCAGCCGCAAGGCCTTTGCTGCAGACTGCTGTCAGCTGGTACTGTCAACGGATAGCCTTCCACGTGGCACCTAGCTTGTTCGGAGTCATGGTTTATACAACCCTCAACCCTAAACCCTGAATCCCTAAACCCTAAACCCTTTACAGTGGAAGACTATCTTCAGAATCTTCAATCAGAAGCCACTGTGCTTGAACCGCTCCTCAGCTCCTACGTGTGGTTTAGGCTTGAGGGTTTAGCACACACAACGACCCTTGGATTTCTTGCGAAGAGGAACTGTCAGAGTGCAGAGGAGCTGCTTGAACTGCCCCTTGAGATACTTAAAGGATCATGGGACTTGGTAACTAGGGTTATTATTGGGGTAACTATGCTTATAATTACTTATAGCCCCAATTACGGGACGTATAGCTATAGTTACTAAGTCCCATGATCCTCCAAGTATTCAGTCGGGATGGGAGGAGTTGTTGCTCTGCTTTTTGCCAAACTGTGCGTTGGGCTTCTCGAGCAGTATGATTTTTTGCATCCCTGTCACGCCCCTTAAGACTAAGACTCCGAAGTACCATGCATCCTCGTACGTTTCGTCTTCAAAACCCTAAACCCTAAACCCTAAACCCTGCCAGACCATAGGCCATAGGCAAGACAGTAAGTGGACGAGACCTTTGCTGGAAGCTACTGGAGCCCGGAAAGAGTTCTCGCTGTTGGAGGTCGTGCTTCATCAATGAAGCTAGGCGGAAGAATCGTGTGCTGTACCATGAAGTCCGCGGTTTCTGGAGAGAGACTTTAGTTCTGGGAGACGTTTATTTCAAATTTATTTCACTATAACCCCCCCCAGAGTTATTTGCATACTATAGGGGCCTAAATAATTACCAATACTGTTTTGCGGGTTCCTTACTCTAACTATAAACCCCATTCTAATTATTAAGGCCCCTATAGTACGTGCACCTTTCTGCAACCGAAGATAACTAAATCCTAAACCCTAAATCCTCAAACCCCTAAACCAAACTCCCTAAACCCTAAACCCCTAAGCCCCTAAACCCTATGTGCACTCAACTCTGCAGTGTTTGAGATCAGCAGAGCAGGACTGGGACCTGTGCCCTGCACCGGAATCGGCCCTTGTCCTTAATCCACTAAACGTAAAAGTCTAGATCTCGTACTTACTGGTAGTATCATTCTTACGGCGATGATGATTATTGTTACTACTACTACTACTACTACTACTACTACTACTACTACTACTTCTACTACTACTACTACTACTACTACTACTACTACTACTACTACTACTTCTACTACTACTACTACTACTACTACTACTACTACTATTACTACTATTGCTATAACGGTAACTATAAGCATGACTACAACTATTACTGATGCTATTGGTCGCCTCGTGTGCGTCCTGCTCGTTCTGTTGCTTTCTTTTGGATTAGGGGTGGTGTGGGTGGGGGGCGGGGCTGATTGCGCCAGGGGCCGACCCTAAGCCAAGGAACTGCACCCGTAGCCGGCAATCCCCAGACAGCGTTTCTCGCACCTTCTTCTTCCTCCTTCCAACTGCCATGACCAGCTTCGAAAGTGGGGAACAGTGGGTCTACAGTGGGGATTGCCAATCTGTTGGAGCATGACAGACCCTGTGGAAGCCCACAACTGCGGAGGCCTTCAGTATTCTATTATTAATCTTATTAGTATTATTAGTAATATTTGTAATATTAGTACCATAAGATTTTTTTCTTCATCTTTCGCATTTACCTTGTGAGCCGGCAGGCCCCAGAACCCGTACGATGGCTCCTAGTTGTGATCGAACCTTTGTCCGTGCGAGCTCATGTGCACGTTCGGCAGCTTCCGTACTAGTACTAAGTTACTAGTACTAGCACTAGCACTAGTACTAGTACTGTTTTCAGTAGTAATACTGGTACTATTTCTAACTCTATTTTCTATCTATTTCTGCATCTATTTCTATCTCTGCTTCTATCGCTATTTCTATATCTATTTCTATTTCTGTTTCTTTGACTATTACTAATTTTTCTGCTGTTTGCTATTACTATTACTAGTACTAGGACCAGTACTGGTAGTATTACTATGACTATTACTATTACTAGTACTAGCGCTATTTCTAGTACTAATATGAATCATAGACCCTATCATGTTCTGGTATGTTTTGAGCGGTTCAGCGTCGAATCTCGCAGGTTTGAGGTTGGGGGTTTATACGCTGGTTTCACAGGTTGGAAGGAAACTGTTAGGGGTTAGGGTCGCATCATTCAGCGGTGTGTATTCGACGGCGACAGCAGTGCCTTTGCCAGCATCCAGTAACGTCGCAAACATTTTGCCGTTCATGTCTGCATGGAGTGCTTTGAAACCTGAACTCCGCATGTTACCGGCAATGAGGCTAGATTCGCAAGACCCCACACACTATGTACACTCGAAAAAGTGGTTCGATTCTGCGCGGTTACCTGAACATCGGAGCGCATAGGCTGGCACAAGCATGTCCGTATCTCTGAAATTGAGACATCTGCTGTAAATCAAGTGAATGAATTAATGAAGACGTGTGTGGTAAGTAACATACTCCGGCATAGAGTAGCATTTGGCTTGCGGACTAGGGTTTGCGGTTCGGGGTTGAATTGTTTGTGATACCTTGTTCGCCAGAGTTTCATGTCTGAACGACGTGAACGGTTCGCTGCACAGGCCGTGCAGACGGCGTCTCTGTAAACTTGTCGCACACGCTGCTGTAAGTTTTCCTGTGTGACCTGGTCGAACTATGCCATGTTGTGGCTGTGTCAGATGCGCAATACCTTCTCCACTTAGTTTCCAATCGCGGTCTGTCCGCGAGCTGTAATTACCAGTGTTGTTGTGTTGAGGGCAAAATCATTGGTCACAGACATTCCTCAAGCAAGTATGTCCAACAAAGCACATGATGGTTGCCAGGATAGGCTACCGGAACCTGGCCCTAAACCCTAAACCCAACACCGTCTGGCATGCTAGATTTGACTGTGCTCTTGCTTGTGACTGCGAATCTACGGGGAGTAACCTGGCCATGGCATAATAATTAGAAAAGGGCTTTGGGGCTCGTTTATAGCATAGTTATATGGGAGTTTCCGAAAATTAGGGGTACCTTATTTTGGGGTCCTTATAATAAGGATCCTACTCTTTGGGGTACTATATTAGGGTCCCCTATTTTCGGAAACTCCCATATTAAGGAACCCCAAGGAAGAATGTAAGCGAGTAGTGCAGCATGGGCAGGATACATGTGCGAAGCTGAAAAAGGATCTGGAAAAAGTTCCGGCCTCAGGTGGAGGCTTGGATCAGTTGGAGGATGCACAAACAGATATGGGCAAGCACCTTGCGCGAGAACTTGTGGAGACCGTATACCCCACAGCTAGATCTGTTTTAAACTTAGCTGAGCTTGGAGCAGGTCGGAACCGTCGGAACCTTACGTCTTTGGAGGTCGAGCTTCCGTGAAAGCATCCCGCTTGGGTCTTCTCAGGCCTTCAACATCCCAGTGGATGACATGGTGGCGAAGCTGCATGTACTTGGGGTTTTCTGCTTTTCTATGATTGCACATTACGAGACAAGCAGCCTTGTTACTGGTGCCTGTTCTGGGCATTAGAACAGTTCGTTGCTGGACAGGAAGACAGCTTGAACCCTTCCGAGCCCGAAAAGACTTTCACAATATGAGCGTGAACACCTAGCGGTGTACAAGCTCTCCAGGTGTTTCTGCAAAAACATCCTGGCAGCGCGCGGAAACCATCTTATGCGAAGATCGTCTATTAAAGCGTGGGGTGCTAGATGAGAAAGGACTCCTCCAAGACCCTGCAGTAACCAGAAGGATACTTGCTGGCATTCAAACGCTCGACATAGTCAACTAACAGGGGCATTTGAAAAACGGTTGTGCAAGGGGATTCTATGGGCCTTGGGGTGTCTTTGAAAGGCAGCATGGACTTGGAGGATCGGTAGTATCGGGGCCTCCGTAATTACCGATACTATTTTGGGGTTCCTTATTGTTGGTACAGCATAATTGGCCCCAAAACCCAATTCTAATTATTAAGGCCCCTACATTACGAATGAGGCGTCAAGCTGCATGGCCAGTGCAGGAGATCTTCTTCCAGAATGCCGAAGAGGGCTCCAGACAGGTGCCGTCACAGAGAAGTCCGAATACTACTACTACTACTACTACTACTACTACTACTACTACTACTACTACTACTACTACTACTACTACTACTACTACTACTACTACTACTGTACTACTACAGCAGCTTTGCTTTGCATGAAGCCCGTTGCAGCTTTGCCTTAATTCGTGCTCCCCTTTGATCAGAAGTGGCTGCGGGACGACGTGGTTCTCGAAGCGGAGGATGTGCGCGATGGGGTGCCTGCCTCGTAAGTCTGCTGGAGCTGTTTTTTCGGATTCCAGAACTTGGGTGAAGGCTTCTTGAAGTTCGGAGGCTAGGTTGAGTGGCCGTGGCTCAAGAAACAAACCGGCCGGCATTTCGTGCAAGTTGTTAAGGTGGGATCGTTTCGGGTTTCGGTGTGGAGTGGTGGGGCGTGGGGGGACAGGGGAGAAACCCCAAACCCTACATCCCGAACCCTGAGCGCGAAATCCTGAATTTTTGGGCCTTGCTCAGGCCATCCTGACCGTCGGAGTGCACGGCGATGCTGGCCAGCTTTCGTATAGTAGCGCAAGGGTCCTTCATAGGTTTTAGGTTTCCTGGTTTCTGGTAGACCGGGTAAACCCTAAACCCTGAGGGTTTTTAATTATTTGCGCCCAAAGCCGTCCTACAGGCATAGAGTGATTGGTAAGATCTGGAATTTGGCCCGAGCGTCCCACCTCATTCCATTCGGGTCATCTATGAAAACAGGAACGGAAGAGGGGTTTCAGAGTTCATGCTGGCACTGGTGGCCTGAACTGTGCAAGACAGGTGTGGCCGGGGGTGGCCATCAGAACCATGTGGTCGGCGCCTCAGTATAATCAACTTCGCATACATAATAATCCAGGCCCTAAATCCCAAGACGTATCGCAGGATGTTTCTCCATAGTGGAAGGCTCTGGTTAGTTACTAGTACCTTTCCTTTGGGCGCCTCATTGTGTGTATGTAAACTATAGTCTACCCCGAAACTCTATTCCAACAATTGAGGCCCTTGAGTCCTAGAACCCTTACAGTCGCCCCTACAGAGCTATAGGCGGAGCCCGTGTTAAAGGAAGCCTCAGCCCCCTCTGTTTGAGTGGTATTCTCCTATGTACTATATCATATATTGCATTATATGCTACACTTTATATTAATTCTATGATGGATCGTAATTTAATGTAATTCTATTGTTGTATATATTCTATATGATGTCGCCCAATATCTCGCATGGCTAGGAAGATGAGGATCTCCCGGAGGATGCGGTGCAGGCTCGGGCCTTTAGGGGATTTAGGGTTGGGGTTAGGGTTTGGGGTTTGGGGTCAGGGGTTAAGGGTTTCGGGTGGGCCAAGCTTGTGGTGTTCGGCTTACTACCCTGGGGTTTAGCGTTTAGGGCTCGTTCTGCATAGCAATGGGTTCTGTTCCAACTGAAGATCCCTCACGGTCCCTGGGCAACACATGTCCAACCGCTTGCTTTGCAATGTTTCCGGTTTGGGCCTCTCCTGCTCCAAGGACGTCTCTCAAGCTTGTGGCCGAGTCGTTCGGCAAGCTGCATGTAGTTTCATCAGACTCATGGCATCGCGAGATGCATCTCAACTGGATTTTGCTTCTGATGGCCAGCATGTCCTGTCAGAACTCCATCGCCGTGAAAGGGGAGACAAGCTACTACTTCGCCCACTCCAGGGCCGGGCAGCACGCACGCTTTGTTGTGAATTATGTGCTGGAGGGTCGACGCGAGTGCGGTCTTCGCAGGGTGTGAGGACGTGACTTCTGCAAGCGTACAACGTTTACTTTGCAGGTTATTGTGCAGTTGCAACTCCCACGGCTTCTTTCGAGTCCGCGGCTGCTAGCTGCTAGCTGATGTCATTGTCGCAAAGTTTGGAAAGTCATGTAATTAAGCAATCTCCACAGATAAAGACTCCTGGACAACCTGTTCGCCCTGATGCTCCCTATCGAATTTCCAGGCTGTTCGGAGGTACACTTTTTTACTTTCCGGTTTCTGGGTTCCTACTATAAAAGAAAAGAAGCCTAAACAAGTTTATACTTTTCCCCAGTGGGTTACTGAACTGCCTACATTTCGTCGACCCAAGCTTGCCGGGTCTGTGCCAGAAAGCGGACGTGCCAGAAGAGCATCGAATCGTTTCAGGAGGCGGGCTATGTGGGATCGTGGTACTGGCAGCACTGTTCTGCTTGAAGGTTCATGGGTAGTTATACGCAGGGTTATAAGTCCCCTAATATGGGTTATAACTACAGTTACCCTACTCATAACCCGACTTATAACTACCCATGAAGCTCCAAGTGATTTCGAGCGCCCTAGAGATGTCCGTATGATGTCGATCTTGACCCTTGTAGTGTAGCACACACTTGTTTGTGCGAAGTGACAACTTCATATCTCACTTAAACACCGAATCGGTCAGGGGATTGACTCACCGATTCATGTCGAATGATTGTATACTCCGTGGCCATTTTGGCGAAAGCTCGAAAGCGGAACTTCGAAGGGCATCTCAAGCCCACTACTTCGATTACCATCGATTTGGATTAGTCACTTCGTAGCCATGGCACGTACCCGAGCTGACTCATGGTTCGATTTTCTCTGCGAGGGCACGCTGGTGAAGATGACGGCCCCTGTTCCAGAGTCGATGCTTAACGAGTACCCCGAAGTAGTCAGCGACACGGCCCAAGTCCCCATCTCTGAGATACGACGACAGCTTTGTCCCCGACTTCTCGAGAAGAAGAACTGCAACATGGCCAATTGTGGATACCTTCACCCCGATTTCCTCAACAAGTCGTGGGTAGTGCCCAACCTCATATGCCACAAATGGTTCCAGGGATGCTGCGAGTACCACAATACGTGCTGGAATCAACATGGCCACACGTTCGATGAAGCTATGCGACAAGCTTTCGTAGTACAACGACAGAATCGTCGAGGCGAACCACCTTACCATTACTCGTCGAAGAACGGAATCATCGAGCAGGTCAACCGAGCACAGGCTCGTGAGTGGATCATGGACTCGATGACCACGTTCCGTTCCGCCGAGATGCGCAAGTTCAATTTTGGCACAAACTTCTCCAGGTACTACGACTACGAAGCGTGGGATAGATCTGATGCTGCCCAACAACTACGACAAGAGATCGCGGATGGCCTGCATCGTCGCGGACGCTCTCCTCGCAGAGTTCGCGAGGAATCTAGACCTCCGGCGACCTGGGGACAACACTCAACTCCGACACGGGGAGCGATTTTCCCTACTTCGAGACCCCGATGGCCCCCTTCAGCGGCTCCCTCGTCAGCCCCTTCTACAGCAGCCCCATCGACAGCACCTCCGGCAGCGGTCCCATCGACGGCACCTTCGACTACTCCGACGCCGCCGACACCAAGGAGACCTTTCTTCCAGGTCAGCACGGATACGGACTCCGATGCACCCAGCTTCGGCCGTGAACCCCGAACTGCTTTCCGCCACGGCGATGGAGCAGCCAGGGGATCACAACGACCGCTTTCTCCGGCGAGATTCCCGAAGAGATCCCAGTCACCGGCGAAGAGATGGCTTGACTCTAAGACCCCGGTGATCGTCGAAATCCCGGATGAGATCGCCGCTTCGACACCAGCCCCGACTCCGGCGGCCCCACCGACTACCACGACACCGCAGACGAGGCTGAGGTCGCCAGATCCTTGGCATGATGACGATGATTCCGCGACACAACCACCGACACCTCCGACCGTGGTTACTACAGCTACCCCTGCGACATCGATGAACCCAAGGAGCGCTGGGTCGGTGGCCAATTCCGCGAGTGAATCCGAGTGGATCAACCCATCCTTTGGGGCTGCCGCTACTACGACTCTCGTGAGCACTCAGACCAAGGCCATGCCCAAACGACCACACCCCGACGCCGACAGCTCCGCGGGGTTTGGAAAGGTCGTGCCGCCGAGATTCTCCGTCCACCCTGCTGTGGACTTGACACGAAACGACCCGAGGCAAGTCTTACGGCCACCTACCAACGAGTCGGGGGCGGCGTCTTCCTCGACTATCACGACCTCCTTGGGGAATCCTTACACGAGTGTACCGGTCGCGGTTCAGCCACAACCACCACGACAGTCATGCCTCGAGAGATTCCGAGTGCAGTGGCGCGACTCGCAGGTGGTGGATAAGGGGCGCACTTCGATCGACGATGTCCGATCCAATGCACCGTCATCACACGAGCCAGTGTTTGGTTTTCAAACGCTGCGCCACTTCGACAACTTCCCGATGATGTCGTCGAATTTACAAGCGATGACGCCGGTGGGCGGACACAATGTCGCGATGTTGCCACCCGGCAACCACCCCTACTCCTCCTTCGCCTTCGACACTCCATGGGAGATCACATACGATGGCATTATCTACATCGAACAGGTACTCCGATGCCCTACTTTCGGGAGCTACCTTACCCAATACGGCCTTTACATCGACCTCCCGATCCACACCCCGCAAGACGACGTACTGCAAGAAAGGGTGTTGCTCCTGGGTGTCCCGAATAACTTCGTGGAACCCCGGACTACCTTGATCTACTCGATGGTGTGGCACAGCATCACCGCCTCTCTCTCCGACCTGAACCATACTTCGGTGGAAGATCGGATGAACCGACTCCGAATTTGGTGCCACACGGCCAGGAATCTCAACACCTTCGCGGCGCAGATGCCATACTTCGAGCCCATGCAGACCTTCTTTCGGGAGCAGGCCTCGGCGATACTTTCATGCACTTCGAATATGCTCTCACCGGCGATGCGAAGTGCCTTCGCCCAACACGAGCGAATGCGATCGATGATCGCCGCAGAGCCGCCGGCTTTCATCCTGCGATTCCGCGAGAACGCGTGAGCCTTTACACGAGGCCTACCCGACCTTTGGAGTCTCACGGTCGCCCCGTTTCCGCCTCGGCGATGTACGGGTGTTTCCGGGTCAGTGACCGTTTCGGCAAAAGGGGACTTCCGCCTCGGCGATGCGTCCACCTGACCCGTAGGTCTCAACCCCCGAATGACTCGTTACATACGACGACAAGACCAAATGTGCTCGCCTGTAGGACATGTTACTCGGTTGCATCAGGCTCTACTAGTTGTAGTGGGGCCTGCTCTCTCCTTGGAGATTGCTTGGCTTCCGTAGACTTCGACCTCTCAAGCTTGACTCGTGTTACCCGAACCTCCCGATCCACCCGAAGTGATGGCACACTCTCGCCAGTCCCCGTTTGAGTCGGATCCGATTGAACAGTTTCCCGAGACATCGGCGACTCAGCTCGATCCCATCGAGCAGTTTTCCCAAATGCCCGGCAGCAGCTCCGGAGCAGTTTTGCCGGCCGCTCGATACCTCGAGGGTGTTCACCCGGACACCGATGAGGGCCGAGCACTCAAATTACAACGAAGGCTCTACGATGATCATCACACCCAGGGAGCCTTGGAGGTCATCGCGTTCAGACGAGCCTCCGAACAGCTCGCGATGTCATCACTACGAAAGCAGTTCCCGAACTCGTCAGACTCCGAGCTGGCGGCGATTTGGCGCCGACAACTTACCGGCGAGGAGGTCGACGAGAACGGCATGCCCATCGAGCTCATTGGTCCCGATGGGAAATCGATCGAAGATCACCACAAACGCGATGTCGACCGAGTAGAGATGTACCTCAAGTACTTCAGCACTCCGGCCAACGACAAGCTCCACGATGGATCCATCGATTGCACCTTTTGTGGTCTGCTGTTTCCACCTTACTATCTCCTCTCGGTTAACCCCGACGGCCAGGACGACTGGCGCAACATCCACTACAGGTGTTGCTACCAGTGCGCGACCGGGGCTAACGAGGACTTCGTGTGGTACGCCGAGAACTCCGACTTGTCACCGGCCAAGATAGGACTACGAGGCAACCTTCGAGACCTTCCCTATAACCACAAGGACCGTCGACAGCTTTACGATCGCGACGACAACCACGAAGTCAAGCCGCCTGGGTGGCACATCGCGATCGAGCGAACGCATGGATTCTACTGCAAGGTCTTCTTCGACAACTACTGGGATACCGCGAAGTGTCGTTGGGTTCGCAAGCCGACATTCGTCCGCAAGAACTCGACCCGCTACGACACGATCGGCATCCCCGACTGGTACACGATTTGCCAGAAGGTCAACTCCGTGCGCAAGCAGATCAACGTCGAGACCTCGAGGAAGCGGGCCGCTTCGTGGAAGCAAATGTGCGAGGACATCGAACGCGAAAGGCCTGGCGACAGCAAGTCGAACATTCGACGCGAGGTACGAAGTCGAATACTACGACTCACCGACATTTTCGTCGCGGACCTCGCCAAGCTTGACTCCGACCAGAAGCAGCGAGTGTTCCAAGCCTTCGCCCAGTGGGAGGTCACGACCGTCGCTCGATCCATCGACCCGAACTGGAACGCCGATGAGTTCTGGAACATGGTTACCGCCGAGGCCCCACTCACCGACTGGTTGTTTCGTGTCTCCGACAGCATCGACCAACACTTCGTATGTCGCTCGAAGGATTGCACCTCGGTGATACACAATCACCATTGGCTTCGACAGATCTCGTGGGACTACTCGATTTCCTCGCAGCACGGTCGGTACTCTTGCCCGCGATGTTTGACCGCGTATAGACCTTGGGCACTTCGAAACAACGCGGCATCCACGAATGCACCGACCTTTGTTCCCGCCCAGAAGGCTCTGATCATCAACGGTGACGGCACCACACTCGAAGTCGATGCCACAGTTCCAGTCCCGACAGGACAACGACTCACCTCCG